CAAGCAACCGATCCATCGTACAAACTCTCAGCTCACAGTAAGTGTTCTTACTTACTTCTGGAAAACCCAGCATTTCCGTGTCACTTCATTGACGCTCGAACGCTCGGGGATTCCTAGATTAAACCGAGAGCCGGCGTTTCACCGATGCTATCACTTCTGCGTCTGTGAGACAATGCTCTCCACAAGCTCAACTCCTGTATCCAGCCGACCAGTCTGACACCGCGCAGCAGACAGAAGCCGCGATCAGACAGAGATGCGCCGAGCTGCGGGGAGGGGAGAACCACAAGCCGGCCGGCAGTTCGCGCAGCAGACAGAAGCCGCAATCAGACAGAGATGTGCTGAGCTGCGGGGAGAACCAGCCGTCAGCCCGCGCAGCAGACAGAAGCCGCAATCAGACTGAGATGTGCCGAGCTGCGGGGAGGGGAGAACCACAAGCCGGCCCGCAGCCCGCGCAACAGACAGAAGCCGCGATCAGACAGAGATGCACCGAGCTGCGAGTAGAACCAGCCGTCAGCCCGTGCAGCAGACCGAAGCCACGATCAGACAGAGATGCGCCGAGCTGCGGGGAGGGGAGAACCACAAGCCGGCCAGCAGCCCGCGCAGCAGTCAGAAACCGCGATCAGACAGAGATGTGCCAAGCTGCGGGGAGAAACAGCCGTCAGCCCGCGCAGCAGACAGAAGCCGCGATCAGACAGAGATGCGCCGAGCTGTGGGGAGAACCGGCCGGCAGCCCGCGCAGCAGACAGAAGACGCGATCAGACAGAGATGTCTATCTATTTACCCTATTACTTTTAAATTTCATGGTTAAACAGTACATGATAAAATATAAGGGTGGAACTGCAATTTTTGGTACTTCCGGGTTGGGCTCAATTTTTGAGCCGCATTGTGGGGGCTTGGTTTTTGACAACGGTGTGACACCCTGATGGGTGGTTTTTCTAATTGGACCGTCTTACTTTTTGTTTTTGACAACGGTGTGACACCCTGATGGGTGGTTTTTCTAATCGGACCATCTTACTTTTTGTTTTTGACAATGGTATGACACCCTGATGGGTGGTTTTACTAATCGGACCGTCTTACTTTTTGTTTTTGACAACGGTATGACACCCTGATGGGTGGTTTTTCTAATCGGACCATCTTACTTTTTGTTTTTGACAACGGTATGACACCCTGATGGGTGGTTTTACTAATCGGACCGTCTTACTTTTTGTTTTTGACAACGGTATGACACCCTGATGGGTGGTTTTTCCAATCGGACCGTCTTACTTTTTGTTTTTGACAACGGTATGACACCCTGATGGGTGGGTTTTCTAATCGGACCATCTTACTTTTTGTTTTTGACAACGGTATGACACCCTGATGGGTGGTTTTTCTAATCGGACCGTCTGTATTTTTGTTTTTGACAATGCTATGACACCCTGATGGGTGGTTTTTCTAATCGGACCGTCTGTATTTTTGTTTTTGACAACGGTATGACACCCTGATGGGTGGTTTTTCTAATCGGACCGTCTTACTTTTTGTTTTTGACAACGGTATGACACCCTGATGGGTGGTTTTTCTAATCGGACCGTCTTACTTTTTGTTTTTGACAAGTGTGTGACACCCTGATGGGTGGTTTTTCTAATCGGACCGTCTTACTTTTTGTTTTTGACAACGGTGTGACACCCTGATGGGTGGTTTTTCCAATCGGACCGTCTTACTTTTTGTTTTTGACAACGGTGTGACACCCTGATGGGTGGTTTTTCCAATCGGACCGTCTTACTTTTTGTTTTTGACAACCGTGTGACACCCTGATGGGTGGTTTTTCCAATCGGACCGTCTTACTTTTTGTTTTTGACAACGGTGTGACACCCTGATGGGTGGTTTTTCTAATCGGACCGTCTTACTTTTTGTTTTTGACAACGGTGTGACACCCTGATGGGTGGTTTTTCTAATCGGACCGCCTTACTTTTTGTTTTTGACAACGGTGTGACACCCTGATGGGTGGTTTTTCTAATCGGACCGTCTTACTTTTTGTTTTTGACAAGTGTGTGACACCCTGATGGGTGGTTTTTCCAATCGGACCGTCTTACTTTTTGTTTTTGACAACGGTGTGACACCCTGATGGGTGGTTTTTCCAATCGGACCATCTTACTTTTTGTTTTTGACAATGGTATGACACCCTGATGGGTGGTTTTTCCAATCGGACCGTCTTACTTTTTGTTTTTGACAACCGTGTGACACCCTGATGGGTGGTTTTTCCAATCGGACCGTCTTACTTTTTGTTTTTGACAACCGTGTGACACCCTGATGGGTGGTTTTTCCAATCGGACCGTCTTACTTTTTGTTTTTGACAACGGTGTGACACCCTGATGGGTGGTTTTTCTAATCGGACCGTCTTACTTTTTGTTTTTGACAACGGTGTGACACCCTGATGGGTGGTTTTTCTAATCGGACCGCCTTACTTTTTGTTTTTGACAACGGTGTGACACCCTGATGGGTGGTTTTACTAATCGGACCGTCTTACGTTTTGTTTTTGACAACGGTATGACACCCTGATGGGTGGGTTTTCTAATCGGACCGTCTTACTTTTTGTTTTTGACAACGGTATGACACCCTGATGGGTGGTTTTTCTAATCGGACCGTCTTACTTTTTGTTTTTGACAACGGTATGACACCCTGATGGGTGGGTTTTCCAATCGGACCGTCTTACTTTTTGTTTTTGACAACGGTATGACACCCTGATGGGTGGGTTTTCTAATCGGACCGTCTTACTTTTTGTTTTTGACAACGGTATGACACCCTGATGGGTGGTTTTTCTAATCGGACCGTCTGTATTTTTGTTTTTGACAACGATATGACACCCTGATGGGTGGTTTTTCTAATCGGACCGTCTGTATTTTTGTTTTTGACAACGGTATGACACCCTGATGGGTGGTTTTTCTAATCGGACCATCTTACTTTTTGTTTTTGACAACGGTATGACACCCTGATGGGTGGTTTTTCTAATCGGACCGTCTTACTTTTTGTTTTTGACAAGTGTGTGACACCCTGATGGGTGGTTTTTCTAATCGGACCGTCTTACTTTTTGTTTTTGACAACGGTGTGACACCCTGATGGGTGGTTTTTCTAATCGGACCGTCTTACTTTTTGTTTTTGACAACCGTGTGACACCCTGATGGGTGGTTTTTCCAATCGGACCGTCATACTTTTTGTTTTTGACAACCGTGTGACACCCTGATGGGTGGTTTTTCCAATTGGACCGTCTTACTTTTTGTTTTTGACAACCGTGTGACACCCTGATGGGTGGTTTTTCCAATCGGACCGTCTTACTTTTTGTTTTTGACAACCGTGTGACACCCTGATGGGTGGTTTTTCCAATCGGACCGTCTTACTTTTTGTTTTTGACAACGGTGTGACACCCTGATGGGTGGTTTTTCTAATCGGACCGTCTTACTTTTTGTTTTTGACAACGGTGTGACACCCTGATGGGTGGTTTTTCTAATCGGACCGCCTTACTTTTTGTTTTTGACAACGGTGTGACACCCTGATGGGTGGTTTTACTAATCGGACCGCCTTACTTTTTGTTTTTGACCACGGTATGACACCCTGATGGGTGGTTTTACTAATCGGACCGTCTTACGTTATGTTTTTGACAACGGTATGACACCCTGATGGGTGGGTTTTCTAATCGGACCGTCTGTATTTTTGTTTTTGACAACGGTATGACACCCTGATTGGTGGTTTTTCTAATCGGACCGTTTGTATTTTTGTTTTTGACAACGGTATGACACCCTGATGGGTGGTTTTTCTAATCGGACCGTCTTACTTTTTGTTTTTGACAACGGTATGGCACCCTGATGGGTGGTTTTTCCAATCGGACCGTCTTACTTTTTGTTTTTGACAACGGTATGACACCCTGATGGGTGGGTTTTCTAATCGGACCGTCTTACTTTTTGTTTTTGACAACGGTATGACACCCTGATGGGTGGTTTTTCTAATCGGACCGTCTTACTTTTTGTTTTTGACAACGGTGTGACACCCTGATGGGTGGTTTTTCTAATCGGACCGTCTTACTTTTTGTTTTTGACAACGGTATGACACCCTGATTGGTGGGTTTTCTAATCGGACCGTCTTACTTTTTGTTTTTGACAACGGTATGACACCCTGATGGGTGGTTTTTCTAATCGGACCGTCTTACTTTTTGTTTTTGACAACGGTATGACACCCTGATGGGTGGTTTTACTAATCAGATTGTCTTAATTTTTGATCGAACCGCAAGTGATGGAACCGCCGGCAAACGAACCGGTCTGTGTAATCAAAACAAGCCTATGATAATTTGACATGATTGTTATCTTCATTATTTGTATTAAACTAAATAAAAACTTTGACTCGATTGTTTTGGATGTTCTTGATCACATGGCTCAAACAGAACAAAGAACAACATTTATATTTATGCAATCAGAACATTAAGCAGCAGTACAGTGTTTTGTGGTTTTAGGAAGTTGAGATGAAAACAAAAACTCCCAAAAAATAATCCAGACTGCCACAAGCTGCAGGAATAAACAGACGAAACTAAAATGTTTGCAGCTGAAAAATGAACCCTGAAGAAACTCAGAAGTTCAAGATCTGACCCAGTCCAGTTCTCATCCCAAAGATCAGCAGTCTTCTGGTAGAAAATAAAAGATCATCTGGAGGACCTAAAGGCGAGACATCCAGAAGATCCAACAGACTCTACCTTCCAGCAGCAGCAATGTTCTCCTTTCATCTTGAGCTGTAATAATTTGACCTGAGCATCCTCAGCGCATCTTCATCAACGCCAGTGCTAACTACATTAAAAGCTTTTTTCATCTCTGATTCCTGTTTTGGTCAAATGACTCAAACAGCTGAACAATGAAGAAAATTTTCTTCTTTTATGTGAAATGTTATATCTGTTTTATTTATCTAACCAGAACACAGAGGAGCAGTAAAATGTTAGTAAGCATTAAAAACTCCAAACAAAAATAATTCAGACTGAAACATGCTGCAGGAACAAATATTACCCAGTTTATTATAGACAGGTGGGTTCTGGTCCAACAGAACCAAAACAACAAAAAGGACCAGCATAAGGAACCAAGTGTGACTGATCTGGAACCAGGAGACTATCTCAAAAGTTAAATCTCATCATTTTCTCACATCCTCTCTGCTCTTAATCAACTTTAACTAAAAAAGAAAAAACAGGTGAAACTAAAACGTTTGCAGCTGAAAAACAAATCCTGAAGAAAACTCCGAACTTCAAGATCTGACCCCGCCTAATTCTCATCCTAAAGATCGTCTCTGGGAGTTCATTTCTTCTTCTTCTTGCTTTTCTTTCCTCCTTCTCCCTGCTGAGAGCTGGTCTCGCCTCCTCCGCTCTTCTGGGTTCGGGTCTTCAGTTTGGGGATCATCTCGGCTACGTAGAACATCACGTCTTTACCTGATGGGGAGAAAAACGTTTAATCTGTCGGTTCTGTAACAAAACCAGCAGCAGGCAGAGCTGCCCCCAGCGCTTTATAAGGATGGATAAGGACATGCATAGAACTGGGCATAAGCAGAGCTCTGTCAGAGAAGCTTAAGTTGGGTTTTAGTAAGTATTCTATGTCAAGTTTTTGAATGATTCCCCAGGTGATGTGTTTGGTAACAAAATATTCTAACAGACTCACGAGATCCAAATTTGTCCTGACACAAGCTTCCATCTGCCTGCTTCAGCTGGACTCTGACCCGGCCCCTGAACTGGACGTCCCTGTTCCACTCCCGAGGGTGCATCTTGTTCTGGAAACCGCACAAATTAAGTCCAGTGAGATCACACAACCTGTGTGTGTGTGTTTGTGTGTGAAGGCTTTACTTCTACGTAGACGTTCATCCCTGCAGCCGCCAGAACGTCTCTGATCTCAGCGCAGGATGGATTCTCCACCGCCTAAACAAACCAACAAACACACACACACCTTTATTTTTGATGATCAATCAGACTGAGACAAGAAGAAAGCAGCCAGCATCACCTTCCCAGAGGGGATCCGGCGTCCTTCAGCGAGTGTTTTCTTACTGTTGATGTAGATGGGATAGAGGCAGATAAACCTGAAACACACGACAGTCTGGTCACATCCAGTCCACCAGCACATCCTGGTTACGTTCTTTATTCTGTTCCTTTAAGTCCTCTGATGTTTTATTGTTATACTGATGTTAATTATTTAATGTTTGAACTAAAAAGCGGTTTCTTCGAGTTTTGTTTTTAACACAAACACATTTATAGAGCATGGCTTAAAACATTTAAATAATTGAAAAATTTAACCAGGTAACGGAGACACACACACACACACACACAAAAGAAATCATCGTCATAAAGAATCACCGGATTTAAGCAGCAGCATATCTGATATTCCATATAAACTCATCTGTTCAGTAGCTATAGTCATGCTGTGTCCAAAACAATACAAAAATAATCAATCCAAAAAATATTTACAAAAGAACGAAGGCTAACTTTTACACGTCATGCTTAAAAGCAGACCAACGGGAAAAACTTACTATAAAACTCTTAACTTTGTTGCTATCTGCGGGATTCAACTTCAACTAACGTATACCGAATTGTAAAGTCGCTGTTCCCCGTTAATATTTGCCCAGTAGAAACACTCGTTTACCTAAAAAACACCGGACAGTCTTTATTTTCCGTAGATTCGTTTAGTTCTGAATGGAGGTTCGCCTGAGCCAAAGGTTAGCTATTAGCTTTAGCTAATCGAAACTTACCTCTCTTTATCAGCGGGGTTTTGGGTAAGATGCGCCATATCTGGAGTCAGACCACTCAGGAAACTATTAGCGCCTTGATTTGTTAGTTAAACTAAACACGGAATATAAATATGTTCATAATATTCTGTTACTTATCAGCCACGGCTAGCACACAGCACAGCGCTACCAATCATCTTCTTCTTCTTTGACTTTTAAAGCGGATGATGACATACCGCCATCTACTGGCATCAGGGGGTTACGTCAACCTCTATCGGTGATAATGAGATAGTTCCCCCAAACTAAATAGGTAAAAATTATACTAACTTGTTTAAACTACACAGAGTGGCTTTTTTACAGGTAATAAATCAATTTGAAAATAATTTCCAAAGGATTATGAGCTTGTTTACCTGTAATGGAACAATATTTGACAGTTCTCCTCTTGATATTATAAATATATAAAACATGCTTTCCTTTTACTAAAACACCTTGACATTGAAATGTAGGATTGTTGCGTAATAAAACAGATGGAAATCTGAAGAGTAGTTTAATCAAACAATGTAGGAAACCGGACTGAAATTCAGAAAACACAATCTGTATAACTGCAACATTTCCTCTCACAGTCACACTGTCTGCCGGGTATAGTTTGATTAATGAATTTCAGTCACAGACAGTGGACACAAAAAAATGTTTTTATTGTGGTTTAAAAGAGATGGAATTATTTTATGTTATTTTATGGCAAAAAATGTTGCAGTACCTCATCCTGTCTGCAGCCTGTATGATGCGTTCCCATAATGTGTTCCCCATGCATACATGGATTGCCTCCCACTGACCAAAAACTCAAGACTCAAGACAACTTTATTAGTCCCCCGAGGGGCAATTTGAGAGCACACCTACGGTGCTTTGTAGACGGTTTCTATACTGTAGGCTGACAGAATAAAACCAACAGGGGATGGAAAATGTGATAATACTCTCTATAAAACCATAGTAGAAAGTCAGTAAAATGTCCTTCCTGACTCCAAATGAATTCAACTTCCTCAGGAGGTAGAGTCGTTGCTGGCATTTTCTGAGGATGTCCTCAGTGTTTGAAGCGAATTTCAGGAGGTGATCAAAGGTGTTCCCTAGATATTTATACTCTTCAACCAGCTCCACTGGCTGTCCATGAATGATAGTGGAGGCAGCGGTAACCAGCACTCTCTGTTTGTTTGAGAAGGACACCACCATCTCCTTAGTTTTGGTCACATTCAGCTCCAGGCATGCAGTGTCACACCAATCCACAAACTCCTGCAGGACCTGCCCGTGCTAAACAGTAGGGCCTGACAGAAGCGACAGGAGCACAGTGTCATCAGCGTATTTTACCATATAACTGTCAGGCTGGATGGATCTACAGTCATCTGTATGGAGAATGAAGAGTAGAGGAGACAACACACAGCCTTGTGGGGTGCCAGTGGAGGTGTAAAGAAGGTCTGTTAACTGGAGACAATAAACTGTCCCTAGATGTAATTGAATGTGTGACTGGTTGTTTGCCTTTATGTGTCCCTGTGATGGACTGGAGACATGTCCAGATGTCCTCTGTCTGTCCCCTGGTGACTGAAGTGGGTAAAGATGAGTGAGTGAGTGAGTGAGTGAGTGAGTTACAAATAAACCACATAATGTGTACCTAGAGCAGCAAACCCTGGTCTAGGATCAGCATCCCGGAAAAGACGATGAACTTGTTGTAGTTCGTTACTTCCCCGCGTGGTGTCGCTGGTGTTCCGAGTCTGCGCGCTGCTGAAGTGCCCGGATGTTGTTGCAGCTAGCTCTTTTAGCCTCTGCGACGCCGCTTCGATCTGCCGCAGCGGAGACTTTCGAAGATTTCGACTCCACTGGCTCATTTAAACTGGTTTTAATGTCGGTAACTTAACATTGGTGGTTTATCATGAGAGAAGTTGTCTGAAAGGGTCGTTATTTTTAGGACTAATCGAATATTTTTCAACCGGACTGGATCGGGTTAACAATACGACAAGCTAAAGGCTGAATCAGTTCGCGTAGGGACCGGACGCCGTTTTTTATTACAGCTGAAATGGAAGATAAATCTTTTACTAAAGAATTAGACCAATGGATCGAACAGCTCAACGAGTGCAAGCAGCTAACGGAAAACCAAGTGAGGACCCTCTGTGAGAAGGTAAGCGCTCATTTGATTCCGCTGACCTCAATTTATAAGCGGCCTGGTTCTCAGCGGCCCCGACTAATTTCTGGAAAGGAAGTAACGTGTATTTTGGTTTTTATCTCCCTATTGACCCGTCAGCCGCAGGTCATCCCTGTTTATTAGTACTAGAAATGAGAAATTATTCGTATTGTTTTTGGTTTTTGAAGATCAGAGGCTAGTTTTATCAGTGATGACGGTTAACCAATAGTCGTAGTTTGAGCACCAACAGGCCGAAAATCGCACCTTAAATGTCTAGTAAATAGATGCAGCCCTCGTTACCATCCACCCGTTTTTTTATTTGACGTGGTTTCCCTCGGTTTATTGCATGCGAAATATTATGTTAAAATCAGTATTAAGTCAGCGTCTTTAGAATTGGTTTGTTTGCGTACGTGCGGGGTTTCGCACCGCACCCTGTCTGTATTGATTTATCGTTTATTGCATAAACCCATCCTACCTCCCAGTCATTAGACGCGTCCGCATTTTTGCTGTCGCATAATAAATTTGTTCTTATGATTTTTTGCATCGTGTTATTTTTTTAAACATACATTATTATAATTGAGTGACTTTAGCGGTTTTTCAGCTGATATCAGGAACCAGCTGAGGATTCAACAGGCCAGATAAACGTGGAAACTTATGGAGCTGCAAAAGATGATTTTTATTTATTACTAAAGTAAATAAACAGCTTTTGTGTATATTTATGTCGTTTTGCTGAGCAACACTTTGAACTAAAGAGTTAAACAATCAATCAAATTTGATGCCTTTAATTATGTTTCCTTTTCATAATTAAAGCTTTTTTTTCCCTGTATTATTTTGTTATTATTGTGAGCTTACCAATTATAAAGAGTCAAAAACTGTACCACTGCAGAGAGGCTCTTTATTCTGATGTTTTTGCACATAAACAACAACAACAACAAAAAAACCAGGTTTCGCCATACATCCTGTTTGTTATTCTACAGGAACTGGGGTCTTGTCTGGCTTCCAGCATGTTTTCACCCATGATGCAATAATTCTGTCCTTTTTAAACTTTTGCTTATGTAAATAAAAACACACAAATGTGACCAGTTTAATAAATTTTTGTGTTCTTTTCAGGCAAAGGAGATTCTGACTAAGGAGTCCAACGTTCAAGAGGTGAGTTTGGCCCAAAAAAATCCTAATAAGTCGCCTTCTTCAGTGGTTACTGCATACATCCGAGTTAATTTGCAGTTTTTGTTCCTGTTGGGGTGGTGGTATCTATGAGGAAATGGAAATCCATTTGAAGAGATTATTCCGTTTGTTTCTAAAACGGTCAGGGTCAGTTTGTGTTATTTTATCATCTTGTGTGTTCCAGTCACACCAGAGTTTCTGGGCTGTATGTTCAAACTTTTAGTAGAACAAACCAGAGGGGCTGGCTTCCCAAACTCGGTTCCTCTTTAGTACCGACCAAATATTTAGTAGGAACTGGTACGGAATAAATATGTATTTTTTGTTGTGAAACTTCAGTATTGTCTTGATAAATTGGCCCTAATAATGAGCCGAACAGCTCCGCACGCCGTGTGACTAAAGGAAGCTGCTCTCTCACACACCATTTATGGCAGGAGTTAATGTAACATTTCAGATAAGATTTGTGTTGCTAAATATGACAAAACAGCAATTTAATAAAGCGCAGCATCATTCCTGGTGTTGGTCTGTGAGCCGAAACATGAACCGATTTCATCTGCTGCTGCCAAAAAAAACCAACCAGACTCAAGTCCACAACCCTCCTGCGCTGCAACAGCAACACGGCGGCGTCACCAGGATTGTTTTTTGTTCTGCCTCTTTCAATTTGTATGTTCTAGGGCTGCATGCACGATATTAGGAAAACCTGTGATATGCAATAACAGTGATTAATATTGCGGTATTACTTGCGATAAATATAAATGTAATTCAGGTACAAAAATAATCAAAAGCAAATAAATAAAGTGACAAAAATATCATAAAAATGAGAAAAGCTAAAGATGTGAGGAAAGGGAAAAAGAAAAAGAAAAGGCGATCAGTGGATCCCGGGAAAAGCAGAAATAGCGGAACAAAGCTAACTCAGGTGTTTGCTAACCATCAAAATTAAGTGTCGGGGGCGGGACTCTGACCTAGGAGAACCCACCCAATTGGCCACATGGGTGAAGAGCTCTATTTGATTTGTTAAAAAACATCATGCTTCCGTTTGATTGGCGGAATGCATCATGTGTAGCAAATATTTGAGCTGACCCTTCATTACGATATTTATCCACTCTTTGCCATATGCATTTTGCGCATGCTGATATCGCGATAACAATATATTTGCGATATATTGTGCAGCCCTAGTCTGTTTATTTAGGATTTTCCTCTAATTTCAGGTTTTAGAGTAGAAGATTCATATTTTCATAAGTTTCCCTTTAATCTTCATACAGTTTACTTTTGATTTGGACTAAAAGGTAAAAACTAACTTTTTACTCATTAACTGCCGACCGTTTCCTGATCAGAAAAGCCCTTCACTTCCAGCATTTTTACTCCTTTTTCTTATTTTTTATAGAGTGACAGAACGTTGCGCGCTAGGATGATGTCGACGCCAAAACAACCAAAACAAAGCGGGGACTCACCTCTTACATCAGGAAGAATCCGCGCGTTTCGATCGTTATCCGTTCTTTCATAATCCGTTGTTGAATTGTGATCGTCAGAAGCTTTTCCGGTTCACGCCTCACTTTTTTTACAGCAGCGGCCCAAAATGATCTCCTAACACATGGATGTTCTGCTTCTTGATCATGTGACGTGTGACGTATGCGGATGAAGATCGGCTTTAGAGCTGAGATGTTTGTTCTCACGGTGCGGGGGCTCGTCCGACGCCCACACAGTAAAAACATGCAAATGACGACTGGCAGTTAATGAGTTAATCTTATAGTTTACTGTTTGCATTGAAAGTTTGCTGTTTTATTGAGTCTAATAAACATTTAAGCACTTTTTATTAATGATGCGTATGTTCTGACCCTTCGTCTCTCCGAGCGCGTTAGGAAACTTGGCCACTTTAGTCGCTTGTTTTGGGTTGTAATGCGAAACTTAAAAGGTCAACGTATCAAGTCGGAGACTCTTGGATAAGTGAAACGATTTTTCTTCCAAATCAGTGAACTGGAACAGGATCGGGGGTCCAATAACTGATCTGGTGGAGCTCACCACCACACAAGAGGTGATGTGCAGCAAAAAGCACAGAAACAGTAATTAAGGTAGTTTAGGCCTTCTACAGAGATCATCAGCAGCGTTCTGTATTCATGCTGAGTTAACTGCCGTGTGGTGGATGTTGGAGTGACCCTGTGATGATGTGACACCCCCTCCAGGTGAGATGCCCGGTGACGGTGTGTGGGGATGTCCACGGTCAGTTCCACGACCTGATGGAGCTGTTTAAGATTGGTGGGAAGTCCCCCGACACCAACTACCTGTTCATGGGAGACTATGTGGACAGAGGCTACTACTCTGTGGAGACGGTCACTCTGCTGGTCACGTTAAAGGTAAATCACAGGTTAATGAGCCACATTCTGCCGTTTGACTCAGAAACTAAACAGTTTTTAATCGTCAGAAAAAAACTGTTTCATATTTTCTAAGTTCGTAGACGTTTGTTTTTCTCCTGTTTTTGATCAGATTTAATGTTCAGAAACGCTTTAAAGCTGTGAGGGTAACAGATGTCTGAACTCGTTCTTCCCACCACTCCAAAGCTTCTAAAAATAATCCTCGTTAGTCTGATTTTCTTTGAGAGGCGTCTCTGAGGTTTTGGGTGAACATGAAAACAACCCAAAGCCAAAAGGAGGCCTGTTGCTGCATTTAAATCTGTTTCTCGTGAGGTGGTCCCAGGTGGGCCGAGTTACGGGCTCCACTTGGTAAACCGTCGGGGTCGATGTTATTTCTGACATGCAGATAAAATCTGTTTTATTCAGTAAATCTACAGTTCAGTGCTGCAAAGTTCAGAGTTTTTCACCCAGACGGTCACCAACGCCAACATCAGACGCTTGTGGGTCTGAGGTTTGTGTTGGATGCTGCTGTCGGTGTGTTGATGGGTTTACCGTCCAGCTTTACTGTATCGGTAATAGGGTTGTCACGGTAACCGGTGTAGCGGTACACCCTGGTAAAAAAAAACAAAACAAAAGTTGACAATAATAACCGTCTTGTTTTTAAAACATTTATTATCTCGGTGGGTTACCGTGGCTGCGGCGTAGGCGCGGTGACCCTTACCAGCCACCGTATCATCTGCTGAAGTTGCCGGTGGCACATGCGCACTTTGTTGTTTACAACCAAAACTTTCTTGAAGCTAAAGCTGAAATAATGGCTAAAGGAGGAGACGGCAGCGCTCAGGACATTTATTATCCCTCAAAGAAGACAAAGTGGGAAGTACGGGCATATTTTGGATATCTGAAGAATGCCGAGGGACAGCTGATAGAAGACGGCTATCCTGTTTGCAGCACGTGCAGAAAAAGTGTCTGTGAAAGGCAGCAACGCTTCAAATCTCATGACACATCTGCGTGACCATCACCCACAACTCTACAGTCAACGCAAGGCAAGCTAACGTTAACGTTTTAGCTAAAATGCGTGATCCGAGGATTTGGGTTGAGGGAGAATGCAACGAGTCGCTATATAAAGCAGCCGCAGCGCCGCTACCTGCATATAAACCGTGTCGCGGACACCCCCATGTTGAAATGACGCTATGCATTACGGGGCTCCCAGGGGCAGATAAGAGTTGGTCTCTCTCTGAGAATAATTATGAATTTAACAACGATTACTGCCTGATGACATTTTCCCACATCTGCAATATCTTGCAAATACTGACATCAAGAATTATACAGTGGCATTTATAACAAATAAATGCAAATGATGTTCGCAAAATGTTGCATAACATTTATTGAGTCGTGTCAAGGTGCTGTAGGAGCGTGCACTAGCACCGTGTCCTCAGAGATTAGTTATTAGTTATCAGCGTGAGGAACTTATTCTACCTTATTTATAAACTATTTATTTACAGGTCCATCATTTAATGTAATAATTGTCCCAACCACAGCTGCACCCCCCAACCCGGTCTCACAGCAATCAGTAGGCAAGCTGCACGCGCACATTTAGCCATTTTTAGTGGCCCAGGAGTCGGCAGGTGCGGTGTGTGTGTCACTCACTCTGGTTAATCCAACAGGAAGCCAACTCTGAGAGCCGTTTCTTTAGCGACTGACACATCACTACATCATTCCCTTTCCTAATGTCCTGAAGAACAGTCCGGAGCGCAGGCGGAGTGTTTAGCTAACCTGCAGGAAATGTCGACGACAGTTATCCAGAAAGTAGCTAAGGGTTACCAGAGATGTTTCTGAGGTGTTCGCTAGGTACTTTTAAGATTTAAAAAGTCAAGAAGGGGGTCTGAAAAGCTGCTAGAAATAGCGTCAAAGTCACTAAGTTGGCAACACTGTGGGAGGCTGTGGGAGGAGCGCTTCATTTGCAACTCAGGGCAGCACAAGTGGGAGGAGCAAATAATCGGCTTGTTTGTATAATCGTTCAAAACTCAGATCGTAATTGTGATTAAAATTCGATTAATTGAGCAGCCCTAATCTCTCCTCTGATTGGCTAACAGCAGCACGACTCTACCACTGACTGTTTGCTCTGCAACGTTGATGTTTTATCTCCACAAATAACACAAGCCTGGAGGAGTTCTGCTGTGTAGTGGAGTTGCTAATGCTAATGGTTAGCTTCTACTAGCAGAGACTGTTTCCTGGACTAAACCAACAACAGCCTTCCCCGTCGTGAGTCAAGATGGGTGAGTCCATGAACGATAGTGACAGTGTGACATAGATCTGTCGGGGTTTTCTAATCCTAGAGTTTCACCGTCTGTTTTTTATCAGCAGCTAATGCAAGAGATAGGTGTAGGAGACTATTCTCATTAGCGATGGGTACCGAATTCGGTACTTTTTAAGGTACCGACCGAATTCCATATTACCGACTTAGCACAGATTCACGTCAATTGAAATGGTGCCTTGTTTCGGTACAGGGTCCGAAATTAAATTTTTTACTCACCGGCCAAGTTAGCTGGTAGATGATGAAAATCTACCAGCCAAGCATATTTTTTACCGGCCAAAATTCTAAATGATTTAGATCTACCTAAAGCATGTTATTCTATATTATGTTGATTCCAAACAGAGTGCCAAAATAATTAAAACATCAATTAATAAAAACAACTCTTATGTCATTTTTACTTTTTATTTATTTATTTTTAGATGTTTTTATGAACTCTTTCATTGAAATCTAGTCAGACTCCTTGTTTTCTCTGTCCACGAAGTCTGGCCTCCTGCTTCTGACACCGTCTTTGTGCCAAAGCATTACAGCCTCATTTGGGTCGTAGTCCTTGATCTCTGGAGAACACAGCTGCACCATGAGAATATCTGAAAGTGTGTCAGAGGTAGGGTTGTCACGGTAACCGGTGTAGCGGTAAACCCCGGTAAAAAAGTTGACAATAATAATAACCGTCTTGTTTTAAAAAAAATTATCTCGGTGGGTTACCGTGGCTGCGGTGTAGGCGCGGTGACCCTTACCAGCCACCGTATCATCTGCTGAAGTTGACGGCGGCACATGCGCACTTTGTTGTTTATGACCAAAACTTTCTTGAAGCTAAAGCTGAAATAATGGCAGGAGGAGACGGCAGCACTTGGGACATTTATTATCCCTCAAAGAAGACAAAGTCAGAAGTATGGGCATTTTTTAGATATTTGAAAAATGCCGAGGGACAGCTGTCTGTGAAAGGCAGCAACGCTACGCGGCCATCATAATGTAGCCATTGTCTCACGACTCCGCCATCTCCAGTTCGCCACTTTTCACAAAATCTTCTGGTTGCCACTGGTCCTGCTGGTTTTTCTTCCAGTTCGACGAGTTTTCCTTTGGAAGGCTGGCTGACTCCAGTTAAAAACCGCCACATTTCACCGCTAGTTTTAACACAAAGCTAACTGCTAACTTGATAAACTGATTGAATGGGATAGGTGGAAATGACGTTGGATGCAGCGTTCACGTTTCTCGTACGTTTGTACTTTGCATGCAGGCGGGAGGAGTATCAGAAGTTCATGGAAGATGACTGATAAACATAACTAATTTGGTGCAAACATTTACTCGCCAGGTGGCAGGTAGAGCTCAAAAATTTACTCGCCAAATGGAGCAATTTGCTCGCATTTGGCGAGTGTTAATTTCGGACCCTGTTTCGGTACCCGTCCTTCATAACGAGAACTTGCCTAGACAGCTGTGCATGCGCAAGAGCGTTATGTCGTCGGTCGCTGCGAGCCAGTTGTAAACAGAGCAGCATGGTAGAAAGAACGCACGCTAAAGCTTGGGTCCACTTCACTAAATGTGATGGGTAACTGGGTGATGATGAAACCAGCGACAACGATCTAAGTGAGACATCCTCATCTTAATCTGCTCCGGTAGGTAAATAAAATGTTTAAGATAACGTTAGCTTGATATGTTAGCTTCCGTTTCGCTATTGGTGCGTTCGCTTTCTCCTCGGAACTCTGAATTTCCGACTAAAAGAACATGAACGCGCTCTAAAGTTTGGCTTCACTTTACTAAATGTGACGGGTGATTGGGTGAAGATGAAACCAGCAACAGCGACCTAAGTGTGAGGCATCATCGTTTTAATCTGCTCCAGCAGCTAAATAAACTGTTTAAGATAATGTTAGCTTGATAAATTAGCTTGCATTGCCGCCATTGTGATCAGCTAATGGTGCGTTCGCTTTCTCCTCGGAAATTCTAACTTCCCAGTAGGAAAAATCAAATGAAAAAGGACGGCAAAAGGAATGAAGATACACAGTAAATTTAGTTCACAGTAAAGATGTTTGCTTCAGTTTAATTATCAGCTTATAAAACTACAAGGACGATGTTAAAATACAAAGAGTTGTATGTTATTTATCGTGATATTTATCAAATATGGTTATAAATTGAGAAAAATATGTATTTAATTATAAAAGAGAATTAAAATATTAAACACTCAAAAGAATCGAAAATTGGTACCGTTAAGTACCGGTATCGATTCCTCGTTACCGGGAATTAGTACCGAATCTATTCAAATGTCAAAGGTGCCCATCCCTAGTTCTCATGTTCATCCTGCATGAAACACTCAGAATCAGAGATAATCATAATAAAAATGGTTTCTCAGTGAGGGACTTCTAAAACGGGCGCAGAAACAGCTGACTGCGAGGAAAGTATCAACACTCAGAGGACTGTTTGTTCTGCACACACTGGATGGAAACACATTTGGTCATGTGACTCGTAATGTTGCTCGTTTACCTACCCGAGAACATAAAAGACTCAGAAGTTCAGATTGGAAAAGGTTTAATAAAATAACAGTTCAGCGATGGAAACCATTACTGGATTTTTATTAAATCCTGCGGTGTTTGGATCAGCTGATTCTGGGATGTCGGGATTGGCTGTTAGCAGGACGAGTCGAGTCATGTCAACCTGAATGGAACCAATGTTCTGGGTTTTAGCTCCAGTTTAAGGCTCTCAGCTTGTGGATTGAGGGATCAAAACAGTAATGCCTTTAGTTTCTGGTGGAGAAGGTTACAGGAGGTCATCTGTTCAGCGTCAAACATTTCATGAGGACAAGCATTTGGCTCCTTCACAATAAAAGCGGGGTGCTTGTCTCTGTGTTCAGGTTCGTTTCCCGGAGCGAATCACCATCCTGCGAGGAAACCACGAGTCTCGACAGATCACCCAGGTGTACGGATTCTACGATGAGTGCCTGAGGAAATACGGCAACGCCAACGTGTGGAAGTACTTCACAGACCTGTTTGACTACCTGCCACTCACCGCGCTGGTGGATGGACAGGTGGGACGGCCAGTGGGGGCGTTGTCTGTTTCTAACTCTTTTCACACGTGTTGAATTGAGTTAATGAACGTAAGGAATGAGAGTGGAGGGAAATTCAAACCTGTTTGTTTTTATTTCAGATCTTCTGTCTCCACGGAGGCTTGTCTCCTTCCATAGACACTCTGGATCACATACGAGCTCTAGATCGCTTGCAAGAAGTCCCACACGAGGTAGGAACACATGAACGCACCTTTCTAGTCTCACAAACGCAGAACCCCACCATGTTCAGGGGCCTGAAGTCCGAAGCACAGAGGCCACGTGTGCTTCAGATGGGAGTCTGACCTAAAACCACATGAACCTGAGTCGCTTAAAGGTGCACAGAAAGGATAGCCCACGGTCAAAATAAGACTCAAGGTTTCACCACAGCAGGGTATCCGCGGGTCCTTAAAAAGTCTTAAATTTGCTTTTCTAAATTTAAGGCCTTAAAAATCCTTAAATACAGTTTCCAAAGGTCTTAAATTACCAAAGACCCAATAAACAAGATATTTTTATTTCTATAAAATTTTCGTGAATTTCTAGTTGGTGTTCAGCATTTTTTGTGTACGATGTTGGCGTAAGCGGAACCGTACACATGCAGTTGGTTGTGAAAGGGGGCTATTTTTAGATGAGCACATTAGCTGGTTAAGCTAGTGGGAGCTTGCGCCATGGGGAAGTGCAAGTTTAATGGTAACTGGGTGGGCAATCCCACGTTTGCGACGTGGTTAGCACCGGCTCCAGGCAATAGCTGGAAATTATAGCTTAAATTTAATTTTAATAAATAGCTTGAATTTGGTCAAAGTGGCCTTAAAAAGGTCTTAAAAAGTCTTAAATTTGGCTCCCTTACACCTGCAGATACCCTGCACAGTCTGACGTTTGTTAACTCACTCTTGTTTTTACACAACACAACGTCGGTCTAGTCCATCTGAAAGCAGGAGGAGGTTTGGAGATGAAGGCTCTAAAAACCGACTCCGGAGATCTTCTCCATCTCATTCAAAGACCTTTGTTCAGCGCTGACTTCCTGTCTGCTCTCCCTCAGGGTCCCATGTGTGACCTGCTGTGGTCCGACCCAGATGATCGCGGTGGGTGGGGCATCTCCCCCCGAGGTGCCGGCTACACCTTCGGACAGGACATCTCTGAAACCTTCAACCACGCCAACGGCCTCACGCTGGTGTCCCGCGCCCATCAGCTGGTCATGGAGGTAAAACTCGTGCAACTGAAGGACATGATGTCCACTGCGTGTCCTTCAGTCAGACTGGACAACTGATGTTTGTGTTTTAGTTGCAGATGAACCGGTTTTATTATAAATATGTTCAAATGTATCACGATGGATTTATTTGTTTTCAGATCCGCCAGATTTGAAGCTTTAATCTTTTTAAATGTTCTGACTTTTAAGTTCTTTTACTCTGAAATCAGGGGCACGTTTATTTATAATTAATGAGCTCTGAGAAACAAGCCTCAACTTCCTGTTTCCTGTCTGACACTGTAGGTCACATGACCCATCAGTCAGCCGGGGCCGGTTTTAACTGGACTGGTTTCTGTTTCTTAGGGCTACAACTGGGGTCATGACAAGAATGTGGTGACCATCTTTAGTGCTCCGAACTACTGCTATCGCTGTGGAAACCAGGCGGCCATCATGGAACTGGACGACACTCTGAAATACTCTTTGTAAGTAAAACAAAAGGCTTTCCTGCAGGTTTAAAGGCCGCGAGGGCCGAGAGGCGCTGCTGGAATGAACGTGATTTATTCCGACGGGGTCGGGGTAAACTTTAGCCGAGTGAAGTGGTTTGTTCTTCAGTCAGATTCTGTAAACGGCAGCTAGACTTTAACGTGTAAAAGCTGAGATAAATGACACAAAAGGCACCACTGAGGTAAGTGTTTCAGGTTCTTTCATGTTTTTAGATCACATCTGATTTCAGGAGTAAATGCTGAGTGAAGGAAAACGTACTCCTGTTTTAACCGGCAGTAGTGATGGAATCTGTGTTTCACAGGATGTACTTGAAGGCACCACAGCGGTTTCTGAATAGAAAAAATCTGTACAGACTTTTAGTTTGTTGGGAATGTTTAAACTAGGGCTGCACGATATTAGGAAAACCTGCGGTATTCGATAACAGTGATTAATACTGCGATGGCGATATTACAAATAAATAAATAAATAAATAAAAACTTAGCTCAGGAACAAAAATGATCAAAAACAAAGAAATTAAAAATTCATGAAAATGAGAAAAGCAAAATATGTGAGGAAAGGGAAAAAGAAAATTAGCAAGAAAAGACAATCATTGGACCCCATCAACATATAAATATTGGACAATGGGTTTCCATAGGCTCCAATATCACGTTTTTGAGGACAAATGGGAGGCGGTCACCACCGCCATTTTGACCGTGTCACAGGTTCCGTCAAGCCCAGACAATTCCACAAAAGGGAAGAGAGGAGGAGCTGAGGGTGGGGCTGTAAGGCTGGGATCAACTGACGACACCCGGTCGAACTAGCTACAACCTAACCCAAAGCTAACGCGGAGGTGGGAGCTAAGCTAGCGGAGGTAGCAACCTAGCTACAACCGGAGTTAACTGTGCACAACACCAGAGCTTCTGAGTCAGAGATACGCCGGGCTGACCGCTGGGTAAAACCGGGTGGAACACAGAGGTCTCCGAGACCTCCACAAGCCGGCAGCCGCACAGCAGACAAGCACCGCTGCCATCTTAGATGCGCAGAGCTGCCGCTGAGGAGAACCGGGTGGAAAGGTTTCCATCCCAGAGCTCCACAAGCCGGCAGCCCGCGCAGCAGACAGAAGCCGCGATCAGACAGAGATGCGCCGAGCTGCGGGGAGGGGAGAACCGGGTGGAAAACATCGGTCTCCCGAGAGCTCCACAAGCCGATAGTGGGAACCCAGCTCCACCAACATGTTATATTTCAACCCATTTTCTAAAGTGCAGCATTATGTTAAATGCACTGGGTTTTACCCTATTACATTTAAATTTCATGGTTAAACAGTACATGTTAAAATCTAAGCTCAGCTCGGCAGTGACCTAAAATACATAAATATAATTTTACTTACCGAAAAAAATGAAGTGGAGACTCCTTGGACGCTCTATTAGTGCAATTAATGCCACAGCAAATCATTGTGTCCAACAATTGCACAAATAATATCCAAAAAAGAATACACAAACACAGAGACTCAAAATGCCGGAGCAGTTTCCAGGCCAGACCGAGGCTCTACTGAGGCCTTTCCACGGAGCTAGCTCTGTGGTCACGTGGGTCTGATGCTCATTAATTATACAGAATTTTAGGCTTTTAATACACTTAAACAGAAGAGTGAGAAAACATTCACCCCCCTCAGAGTTGTCATGAGTGTAAACTAGATCATTTAAACCAAAAACATGTTTTGGTACCAGGCTGTAAACATGTTTATTTCTGCTGTGAAATTGGTATTTTTAACATGGAAGTCAATGAGGATTTGCTCGCTTCTGACACCAGCCCCCAGTGGATGAGGGTGGAACTGCAATTTTTGGTACTTAAGCGTTGGCCTCATTTTTCACCCACATTGTAGGTGGACCCCTGGAAAAGCACAACAAAGCTAACTCCGGTGTTTGCTAACCATCAAAATGAAGTGCCGTCCGCCTTGGGGGCGGGCATCTAACCTATGAGAACCCACCCGATTGGCCAAATGGGTGAAGAGCTCCATTTGATTTGTTACAATACATCATGCTTCTGTTTGACAGAATGCATCATGTGTAGCTGACCCTTTATTGCGATATTTATCTGTTCTTTGCGTTATGCATATTGTGCATGCTGATATCGCGATAACGACATATGTACGATATATTGTGCAGCCCTAGTTTAAATAAAACCACTTTCAAGGTTTAATCCACATACCGGTGAGTCATTTTTCATTCTGCAGCCAGATCTGTGCAGATCAATCTGGTTTTAACTGGTTTTGTTTCAAACTAAAAAAGTACTAAGATTTTCTCATTTGATTCAAAGCACATTAAATATTAAAAATAAGTTACTTGCTTAAATATAGATTCAGTTTCATCTGTATTACTGATTTATGTTTTTGTAATGCATCTTTTTAACAGGAAGTTGCAACTAATGAGCCTTTTTCTCCTCCCACAGCTTGCAGTTTGACCCCGCCCCCCGCCGCGGAGAGCCTCATGTGACCAGACGCACTCCCGACTACTTCCTGTGAACGTCCATCCCCTTTCCTCTGTCATCCACTAAGCTCCACCCCTCCTCCACCATCACACCCACCTTCTCATTTTGGATGGAAAGAAGCTATTACTATTGGTGATGTTTCTGTACCAGGGCGACGAGCGATTGGCTGAATTTAAGATTTTATCAAAGAGCAAAGTCTTCTCTACGGTCGTGTTGTCGATATGCTGTCATTAATCTGTGCTTCTGAGGAAAAACAACACGTAACTACGATCTAGTTCACTTTTATTTTTATTTTTGTTTCTTACATGTCACAAATGAGATAATAAAACTACGACGTGGACCAAATGTGCCATATTCTGATCCTTAAACCTTCAAGGGTTTCTTTTCAAGTTTCTTTAGTTTTATTTTTTTTAAGACTCTATAACCCAAACAGTCACCACAAAACACTTCTGATGGCAAATGTGCTTCTTTGTTGCAAGAGTTTTTGAAAATAAATTTCAAGAATAAGGAAAAAAGTTGCTTCTAGTAGTTCAGCTGTCAGTTTTAGGTGTCCAGGCTGCAGCCGGGGGGTCATCTCCGCAAGTATGTTACTGTAATTTGAACTAAGACAACAGACGTATGAAATAAAATGTCCTATTGACGAACTCCTGGGAGCGGTCTCATTTCTTCCAGTGCTGATGGGTCTAGTTTATCATGTTCCTTATTTATAAAGCAGCCAGATGTGATTTAATGGTCTACATAAAAGTTCTTTAGGTGTGAAAGTCAGTTAAATGACAGACATTTTGAAACATTGAGAATGTTGAATCTTTAATCTGAAGAAACTTCTTAACATCCATGGATATAAACTTTCCAAAATCAGCTTTTGTCCCCTGCACTTTTTATCGTCTAAAAACAATTTTATGCTATATTAAATAGACACTGAGCACTAGGATCGAGCAGAAAGCAACTGCTTATGTTGAAGCCTGTTTCCCAGTAGAACCGTCCATAAGCTCTGCTGATGCCGTGTGATGAGCTGTTCCTGCCTCCTGTGTACTTGACAGTTCTGCGTTCCTGACATTGCAAGAAAGAGCCTCTAGGCTGTAGACTTAAACATTTTTTGTATCCTTACAAAATACGTTCATGTTTACATCAGGTGAGTGGCCTGTTCTAGGTGGACAGAATTCTCAGTTGCTGAATATAAAGGTCCTTCTCAAAAAATTAGCATATTGTGATTAAGTTAAATTCTAATGTACTGATAAACATTAGACTTTATATATATTAGATTCATTACACACAACTGAAGTAGTTCAAGCCTTTTATTGTTTCTAATATTGATGACTTTGGCATACAGCTCATGAAAACCCAAAAGTCCTATCTCAAAAAATTAGCATATCATGAAAAGGTTCTCTAAACGAGCTATTAGCCTAATCATCTGAATCAACTAACTCTAAACAAAAGATTCCTGAGGCTTTTAGAATCTCCCAACCTGGTTCATTACTCAAAACTGCAATCATGGGTAAGTCTACCCACCATGCTGTCCAGAAGGCCATCATTGACACCCTCAAGCAAGAGGGTAAGACAAGGAAATGTCTGAACGAATAGGCTGTTCCCAGAGTGCTGTATCAAGGCGCCTCAGTGGGAAGTCTGTGGGAAGGAAAAAGTGTGGCAGAACACGCTGCACAACGAGAAGAGGTGACTGGACCCTGAGGAAGATTGTGGAGAAGGACCGATTCCAGACCTTGGGGGACCTGCGGAAGCAATGGACTGAGTCTGGAGTAGAAACATCCAGAGCCACCGTGTACAGGCGTGTCCAGGAAATGGGCTACAGGTGCCGCATTCCCCAGGTCAAGCCACTTTTGAACCAGAAACAGCGACAGAAGCGCCTGACCTGGACTACAGAGACGCAGCACTGGACTGTTGCTCAGTGGTCCAAAGTACTTTTTACAGATGAAAGCAAATTTTGCACGTCGTTGGGAAATCAAGGTGCCAGAGTCTGGAGGAAGACTGGGCAGAGGGAAATGCCTGAAGTCCAGTGTCAAGTACCCACAGTCAGTGATGGTCTGGGGTGCCATGTCAGCTGCTGGTGTTGGTCCGCTGTGTTTTATCAAGGGCAGGGTCAATGCAGCTAGCTATCAGGAGATTTTGGAGCACTTCATGCTTCCATCTGCTGAAAAGCTTTGTGGAGATGAAGATTTCATTTTTCAGATATTTAACCTCAGATTTTATAAGGATATTATGCATTTCTTTTAACCGTGTGTCGTGAATGGCTAAGTTCCCATTTTTTTAGATTTAGGTTCAGACCTGAAGCATCAGAGAAGAGTTGAATCTTTTGGATGGCTATAGAAATTTGTTTCGAATCCTTTAAAAAAATAGTGGTGTCATCTGCAAGTTGACTTATAACTAGATCAGTGCCTAGAACATTTAGTTTTGCAATGTTATCACAGTTTTTTAAACACAATGCCAACTATTCGGTGACCAGAATGAAGAGATATGGTGAGATTGGGCAACCTTGTGGGATTCCAACATTAATATTAAATCTAGGGATGGTGTTTTCTGGGTCAGGTGCTTTATTAATCGCTAATCTTTTGATTGCCTCGTCTAGTTCGCTCATCGTAATTTCCTTTTCACAGGTATTTTGGAAGGAGTCGTCTATTTTAGGGATGAAGGAATCAATATGGTTTAGAAATGCATGAGAATCTGGGGCTGAAAATTTGGAAGTATATACATTTTGGTAAAAGTTGAATATTTCTTGTCCTATTAATTTTTCATCCGTGGATTCAACATTATTTATTAGTAAAGAGTTTATAGAGTTGCTTTGTTGTCTTCTTTTTTCTAGGTTACAGAAATAATGTTTTTCTCACCTTCCTCAATCCATTTGGCTCTCGATCTAATGAAGGCTCCTTTAGTTTTTTGTATGTACATGTTATCCAACTTTATTTGACGGGTTAGAACATTTTGCTTGTCTATTTCAGATGGGTTAGGTTTCAGCAATATAAGTTTAATTTTTGTATGATGTCTAATTCTAAAACCTGAAGTTCGTTTTTATTGCTTACTAAATGAAATGGAAAGTTGTCTGATTTTGTATTTTAAAAATTCCCATTTAGCGGTTGGACTGTTTAACTCTTTTGAGTTTACAATATCTGTAAAATGTGACTTTATTTTTTTTACAGTAATGGCCATTTTGGAGAAGGCAAGAGTTAAATTTCCAATATTTGTTTATTCTATGAGTGTTGTTTTTTGGTTTAATTTTAATGGTCCGTTAGTGGGGCAGCAGATATATCAGAGATGAAGTCATAAAATAAAAGTAAGTCATTAATAATAAGCCAATGGTCGATCCTTGATTTATTAGCTGAATTAAACCATGAGAATTTCTGAGTGACTGGGTGTCTCCATATATCCATAAAATTATGTTCAAAACAGGTCTGGACTTTTCAGCAACACGAATCAGTTTACCTGTAGGCATACAATTATGCAGTTGGTGCACTGTAAAAAGAAAAACCCTATTGAAATTAAAAAAAATTGATGTCCAATGGTCACATCCAAAATATTTGACTTCATAGAATCCAAATTGAGTCACTTGATATGACCTGATACTTTTATGTTGATATAAACAATATTACTAGACTAGACTGAAACTTTAAATTTTGCATTGATCGAAATTGATTTTTTTACATAGAACCATATTTTAATTATTGAACCAAGGTAATATATTGAAATTTAATCAACCTAATGTATTCACATCGAACCAAATTAACATGAACTAATATGTTTTTGTTGAAGCCAGGTAATTGATTTACATATATTCAAACTATATTTTTTTACATTTGATTTTATTTCAGTTCAAAAATGCTCTGCACTTCCTATAAAAAACAAGACAGTTGGCCAACCAATTATTTCAAAATTATTTATTGTTCCAAACCATTTTAACTGTAATCAATAGAGAGGATTAGTAATATAAAAATTTAGTGCTACGGCAGAAATGATTAGAGAAATGTTTGTTGCAACCTTTAGAAAACCAGTCTAAAACCTGCAATCTTTTGAAAACCAGTATAAAACCTCCAATCTTTTTAGAACTGGTATAAAACCTGCAACCTGTGTAAAACTGGCATAAAACCAAAACTCTTTTTAAACCAATTTGCAAGTACTCAAAAATGTTTATATGTGCACTGTGCCTGTACAATGTAAAAAAAAATCTACACATGTATCAATGAAATCAACTTAAATCTCCCTTTCAAATGGGTGTTCTTATAATTTTTGAATGTAGAATACCACTGCAGGCCAACCAAGCAAAATAACCAAGCACACATGCACATGCATGTGCACATACACATGCACACATGCATGCAAACACACTACTGTGCAGTGTTAAGTTCACAATTAAGTTTGCGAATCTTAGAGGTCATCTTGTTAAAGTCAAGCTCCATCATAACCTTTTGAAGAGCCTCAAAGGTGAACCTGAATCCTCGTGGATATTCCATATTAAGAGCATAACAGAGTCCAAAGACCATTGCCACTCCAGCTGACACAGAAGGCAACTCATTCAGGACTTCCACACCATCAATGATTATCCCGATGTCTCGAGGCTGATGTAGGAGAGATGAGTTGATTAATCATTGCTGTTCTACATTAATCACTGCATTTAATAGCAGAGTTGTCAAATTTACATCAAGAGACTGCATCTCATGTAGAGACAGAACAGATATGGACATACCATGTATTCTTTTATCAAGTCCTCAACACGTTCTCCAAGGTAGATAATGAGAGATTTAAGTATACACTCCCTCCTAATGTCAGCATCAGCATCCTGCAGGAACAGTTAAAATTGTTACTATGCAATATGGATAGTATGCTGCATGAAAGGAATTTTATTTCACCTCTCAGATGGAGCGATCTGTGGTTTTGAAAGCATGCAAAAAAAAAAGTTACTTCTCTATAAAACACATAACATAGAAAAACCAAGAAATATGTAACATGACATACACATCCTTATAAAAAGCTAGTACTATAATTTGATTTAGGTTTACCAAACAGTCTACAGACCAGCCATTAGCGACTAAGTTTGGCATAGGGTCATTTTTTTGCTGTTAAAATTAAAATTTCTTCAGAAAATGCACATTTTTCCGAGCCGCGCCTGAAAGTCAATTGAAGGAATTAGTCTTATGTCATTCATCTTATATGCTGGCGGGTTATTTCTGTCTCTAAATCATGCACATTAATAATAATTATAAGATATTTATATGAAGAGAGACAGACAAATGTGCGCGCACAAACACAAGCTTGTGTCTAGAAACCGCGAGAGCACCAGAAAAATTCAAACGAAGCGGAGCATGGAGTTATACTATTTTTATTTTTTTATTTTTTTTTTATATAGCACCAAATCACGACAAGAGTCGTCTCAAGGCACTTCACATAATAAACATTCCAATTCACAGTTCATTAAGCCAATCAGAAATAATGTTTCCTATATAAGGAACCCAGCAAATTGCATCAAGTCACTGACTAGTGTCAGTGACTATACAGCAATCCTCATACTAAGCAAGCATTTAGCGACAGGGGAGAGGAAAACTCCCTTTTAACAGGAAGAAACCTCCAGAGGATCCTGGCTCAGTATAAGCAGCCATCCTCCACGACTCACTGGGGATCGAGAAGACAGAGCAGGCAGACACACAGACACACAGATACACAGATACACACACACACACACACACACACACACACACACACACACACACACACGTAATGTGTCTATAGTTATATTGTGATGTCTTAGTAAATATTGTATTTGGTGAAAGATAAACTTTATTGTATTTATCCTAGTGGATCTATAATTAAATGGATAAACTAGTATTAGCACATCGAAAGTCAATGAAAACAAAAAGTTATTATCAGGAGAGAGAGAATGTATTAGTGGTTAGCAGCAGTGTGCTAGTCGATGGCCCCCTCCATGAGGCTATGAATGTTATGAACTATGAACTTATGCTAGCTAGCTGTATCCACCACCGATGCATCGTGGTAACGCTAGCTAGTTAGTATAAAAAAACGGCTGGAAAAAAAAGGCTATTTGCCTAACTTGCATACCCTACTAAGATGGTCAGTTGCTGGTAACCAGTTCTAACGTGGTGTCGTATAGCTAGCTAGCTTGTAGCTAGCAGCTACAATCGTGCAAAAATTGGGAGTGGCTGTCGACCTAGCTTAAATGTGGTTATTTTCTGCAATTTTGGCAATACAAATTATAAAAGCTTTTGTAACACACTTGGCTTTACTTACGTTTATTTTCAGATGAAATTAATCAAAGATGTGACACGATGTTTCCAGCAGCCATGCAGAACAAAAATGGGTCCCGGTTTCTGGTGGGCGTGTTCAAGTGCAAATCACTTTGACTCAAATTAAAGATATTATCTGTTCATCATGAAAAGAAATATATGTTTTGAGAGAAATCAAAAACTTTGTGTTGTGTCCTTTGTACAGATATTTAGTTTCATCCAAATGAAAAGTTGTATTTTAAAATGCAAAAAGAAAGGGTTTCACAATCAAATCAATGATTTTATTCTGTTTTGAATGGCACTTATTAGATTGAATGAATGACTGCATGTTAGACTTTTTTCAGTGTGTTTAAAGAGCAAGTCACCCCCTACCAGATTCTAACTCCACTCCCACTTCATGTTTCATCATAGCATACCTCTTAGCCAATAGCGGGGGCAGATTTAAATTAGAATACAGGGCAGAGTTTTTACCTGACAACGGCACAACACTGACAGTTTAGGCAGAATATTTAAATTTTAACTAAGATGCACTGAAGTGCCAAATTATTGACAACACCTGTCTGCAGCACGATTAGACACTCGTTTATTTAGTTTATCAGCAAAAAAAAAGTTTATTTGGGGGTGACTTGCTCTTTAACCATCAACATAAAATAACAGGGAGAAGAACAGGTGTATAACAGGGAGCTTAAAGTAGCAGTTTAAAATTAAAGAGACCTAAAGGAAAAGTAAAGCTGCAGTTACGTTTTTCGGCTATTTTCTGTGGTCTTTTTTGTACTGTCAATGTCCTGTTTTCAATAAAGATTTCAATAAAGATCAAACATCGCGAGAATTTTCGAGAAAACATCTCTAATTCAGTTTTTTCCCTCTTACAGCTTTTGAAGGTTTGTGAATTCGACCTAAACTTTAAAAAATATCTTATTTGTGTTTGCAAAATGAAAGTTAAGTTACAGTTAAACCGAGTACTGTTTTTTTGTTTCGGTAGCGTGTTAACATCAGTGACTGTAGAAAGAGAAAGGTTAGCATCATGTCGGAAAATGCAAAAAACATTAGCTTCTGTTCGCTTCGTGTTTTTTAGTCAGCTTTATACTTAGTTTAACAGGTTTGTGGTTTACATCAAGATTCCGATAAACGTTTGAAGAGATTTCTGTCTAATTAATGTGATAATCAAAACAGTTTGGAATGCAACACTTCCTGTTTCTGACTCCAGAGTTCAAATGTCCTGACTGATCTCTAGTTTAAAAACAGCAGATTTGGCTGAAATGTGAACGTTAAAGCTTGAATAAGATTTGGTTTGTATTTTACGTTTTATTTCCTTGTCAAGGTGAGAGAAAAAGCAAACATTTGTAAAAAGTAGAAATGTTCTTTTATTTTTCAAAACTTTTTCATCGTCATTCTGCTGAAAATTTAAGAATAAACCAACAAAGCATTTTTCTCTGTAAGATCATCTAAAGAGCTGTTTGTTTCCACAGGTTTCTGCTCCTCCATGAGGAAGCAGATGACGAGGAGAAGAAGAAGAAAGAAGAAGAAAATATCATTTCTATAGCGCCTCTCAAGATAAAAATCACGAGGCGCTTCACAAAAACAAGAGGAAGGTGGTCCCACCAACCCCTTGACTCCCACCTGCCTGTATGGAGGATGTGGTTCTGCATTATCAGTCTGGATCAGCAGACCAGCTCAGCTGTCTGTTAGAAAGGACAGAAAAGCTTCTGAAGCCTTTCACCTGTCGGAGCCCCCCAGCCTTCAGCCCCTGGTTCCCCATCTCCACAGCAGCCCACCGGCTGCCCATCAGACCTGCTAAACCTGCTCCTGTCATCACCTCGGGGGATTTCCTCGCTGGCACAGAATCCCAAAACAACATCATAAAGCAAGTCTGTGCAGAAACTCCACCAGATGATCCAAAATCAAACAAAGACCCTCTCTTTGTCTCAGAAACCCCAAACAGTCTTCTCTTAGTGAAAGAAACCACCCCAACGTCTCCAGGAAAACAACCTCAGATGGACAGAGATGCTTCACCAATCAGACGGTCCTGGAGCGTCTTCACACAGAGACGGGTTCTGCTGCAAAACCCACAGTCTCTTTCCAGACAGTTTGATCACATGGTGTCCGTCCATGGGCTGCACCTCCGCCAGCGGGCCAAGTGGGTCATCACCCAAGACAACTGCGGGGACATCGAAAAGGTCAGACCATGAAACAACCCTGAGCCTGTGTGCACAGAGGGCTGCTTTAAACCACAGCCCTGGTGGAAAATGAAAGCTGTATTTATTTGTTTCTTATATATTATCAGTTCACCAAAAAGTATTTTAAAGAAAAAGAAAACCCAAAAAATTCCTACTGAACTGAGCTAAACTCGAATGCATCGGCACCGTCTTCATTTTTGCCCGTGTGTTGGGAGTGGCGCTGGTCCAGTTGGTTTGTTTTAAATAAAAGACAAAAATAAAAGTTTGGTCCGCATAGCCGGTAGTAAGTCGGACCTGTTCCCGGTGAGGGTTGGACTCCGCCAGGGCTGCCCTTTGTCACCGGTTCTGTTCATTACCTTTATGGACAGAATTTCTAGGCGCAGCCGTGGTGTGGAGTGTGTCGAGTTTGGTGGCAGGAGAATCTCGTCTCTGCTTTTTGCGGATGATGTGGTCCTCCTAGCTTCATCCAGCTCTGACCTTCAGCTCTTGCTGGGTAGGTTCGCGGCCGAGTGTGAAGCGGCTGGGATGAGGATCAGCACCTCCAAATCTGAGACCATGGTTCTCGACCGGAAAAGGGTGGCTTGCCACCTCCGGGTCGGGGGAGAGGTCCTACCTCAAGTGGAGGAGTTTAAGTATCTCGGGGTCTTGTTCACGAGTGAGGGTAGGAGGGATCGGGACATCGACAGGCGGATTGGTTCGGCGTCTGCAGTGATGCGGACGCTGAGCCGATCTGTCGTGGTGAAGAGGGAGCTGAGCCAGAAAGCCAGGCTCTCGATTTACCGGTCCATCTACGTCCCAATCCTCACCTATGGTCATGAGCTTTGGGTAATGACCGAAAGAACGAGATCGCGGATACAAGCGGCCGAAATGAGTTTCCTCCGTAGGGTGGCCGGGCTCAGCCTTAGAGATAGGGTGAGGAGCTCGGACATTCGGGAGGGACTCGGAGTAGAACCGCTGCTCCTCCGGATCGAAAGGAGTCAGTTGAGGTGGTTTGGGCATCTGGTCAGGATGCCTCCTGGACGCCTCCCTGGGGAGGTGTTTCGGGCATGTCCTGCGGGCAGGAGGCCCCCGGGTCGACCCAGGACACGTTGGAGAGGTTACATCTCAAATCTGGTCCGGGAACGCCTTGGGGTCCTGCCGGAGGAGCTGGTGGAGGTGGCCGGGGAGAGGACGGTCTGGAGCTCCCTAGTTGGGATGCTGCCCCCGCGACCCGGACCCGGATAAGCGGAGGAAGACGACGAAAATAAAAATTCAATTCAATTCAAGTTTATTTATATAGCGCCAAATCACGGCAAGAGTCGTCTCAAGGCACTTCACATAGTAAACATTCCAATTCAGGTCAGTTCATTAAGCCAATCAGAAATAATGTTTCCTATATAAGGAACCCAGCAAACTGCATCGAGTCACTGACTAGTGTCAGTGACTATACAGCAATCCTCATACTAAGCAAGCATGCAGCGACAGTGGAGAGGAAAACTCCCTTTTAACAGGAAGAAACCTCCAGAGAATCCTGGCTCAGTATAAGCAGCCATCCTCCACGACTCACTGGGGATGGAGAAGACAGAACCCCCCCCCCCCCCCCCCCCCAACACACACACACACGCACGCACGCACACACACACACACATGTCTATAGTTATATTGTGATTTCTTGGTAAATATTCTATTTGGTGAGAGATAAAATTTATTGTATTTATCCTAGTGGATGTATAATTAAACGGGTAAACTAGTAGTAGCACATCCAACGTCAAGGAAAGCAAAAAGAATTTCATTACTACAGATTTCACCATTAAACATTAAAACAAAACTCTTCCCAGTTCAAACATAAAAACCCAAATCTGTTCAGTCTTCCAAACAAAACTCCAGAAACACAAACCTCTTTAGAATTTCAGACGTCCCAGCACAAACCAGGACAGGTGTGTGATTCACCTGTGGATGTTCAGCTTTACAACTTTCTCATCCAGCACGGTCACAGAAACCAACTCAGCAGCTTCGGTGACCTCACAGGTGGAACAGACAGCTGAACCGTAAAAAAGATATGATGGTTTGTGTTTCTGATGCGGTTGTGGATCTTTATCTCTCTCTTTAGGCCGTTTTTCTGCTGACTTCAGTCATTTTATCTCAAAGACTCATCAGAAATTTTCATGTCTCTCAAAACAAGTTTATTCCTTTTCTATGGCTCCATCCGGTCATCTTTATTAACTTCCATTATCTTCTTTATACATTTTATTTTATTTGGGGTTTTCAAAAGGTCTGAACATTGCACATGTTCCCCATCTTTTATTTTTACGAAGTAAAAACTATAATAGCCTATTAGATTTTTTAAAGGCATTACCTCTGAACTGATGCTTGTTGTTTTGCCCTCTAAGATTGTTTGATCAGCATCATTTCTATGATGAGTCAAATATTTAGGTGGAAGATTTAGATTTGAATTTTTGTTTAGTCAGAGTTTGAAAATATTTCAGTAAAATCAGGAATAATAATAAGAAGAAATGAGCACTTTATTTAACAATGAAAGAAACTACAACAGCATCCCTTCATCTATTCTGTTTATAATAAAAAATATTATTATAAAATACATTTTATTTATAAAATCATCGATTATACAGTTTACCACTTTGAATTAGTTTAGTTTTGTAACTGAGAAAATCTGCGTTTTCAGTAGGGATGTGAATCTCAGAGCAACTCACGATTTGATTCGATTCAGAATCGATTCTCAATTTAAATCGATTCACAATCAATATTAAAGGGGCATTATGGAGGTTTGACAGCCAAAACATGTATAGAAATAATAAACGTCTTCTTACATTCTCCTGCAATGCCCTGGTCCTGTAGAATGAGCCCTGGCATTTTTACTGTGATTGCCTGTTTTTCTGTAAAATCACAGAAAAAGAGAGATGCTCGGGTCGAGCAGGCTGCTTCATGCGCGTTCACGCTCAGGCATCGCCCGTAGCATTTGCTATCCGTAGCTTTAGCAGCAGAGAGAGAGGCAGTGCCACTTTGTCGCTGTTCCTAACGCCTAGTGACAAAGCTAGCTACATTTCTGAGGACCCTTAGCTACTTTCTGTAGAACTTTCTTCTAGATATTTCCTGCAAATTAGCAACAAAACAGCCATTTTCACTCCGAACCGTTCTTTGAACGTTGTTTCAGCTGTCATCAAGGATATAAATGTTACAGATACAAAAGACGTCACTGGCGCTTTAGCTCACCTAGTAAGACGTCGGACTCTCATGCAGAAGACCTGGGTTTGATTCTGGATGTGAACATAGTTTATTTAGAGTTTCTTTTTTACATTAATGGTATATTTTTTTACAATAAGATGCCCAAATTTTTATTTGAGACTCACCGAACGGCATTGAATTCACAGACAAAAAAGATGTGGGTTAAACTTTTATTCTGGAACAATTTTTCAAGCAAGGGAAGGGAATGATCTGAGCATGCAGGAGGACTGACCCATCATAAACCTTTGTCGGCTGTGCTGAAGAGAAAGGTACAGAACCAAATTATTTAATTAATTAGCTGAGCGTTCTCCTGTCCTCTGTCCCCCCCCCCCCCCCCCCCCCCCCACACACACACACACACACACAAGGGACTGTCTCAGCTGTTATTTTCGTTAAGGAGTGTGCACGTACAGCATGTGCGCCTCGTGCACGAGCCTACTATTGAAGCTGCCGTTACTCTTTTGGCCTGAGGGGGCAATCGCGAGCATAAAAATTCAAAACTTTGTAAAGTCCCTTTAACAAAGAGTGTCAGTTCCAGGATGAACTACTTTGTTGTGCAAGTTAGTTAAAGCTACGGGACATTTTTTATTTGACTTTAAACTGGTCATGCTAAAAAAAAATACAAATTTACAAGGTAAAATAAAGTGATTCTAAAACTGTAAACAGACACAATCTTTTGACCAAAAGGCAACATTTAGTTTTGCTTACCTTGTAAAATATAACAAGTCTGTAGTTACCCAACAGTAACTTTGAAAGTAATATGGTCAAATACTTTTCAAGTATGTGTAGAAACAAGTTTAACATTTGAGTCCTCAACTTGAGCTTGAGATCAGTGGACTCAGTGGTCTCCTTTAAAAAGCAGCTGAAGACTCACTTGTTCAAGCTGGCTTTTGTATGACCTTCTTCACCTCTCTCTCTTTATTCTGCTCTCCCCACCTATTCCACCTTCCTCAGGATCCACTGATTTCCCTCTTTCCTGTTCACTCTCTCTCTTTCTTAACATTTTTTAATCACAATTGTTTATTTTTTGCTCATTTTAATATATTTTTAAACATTTTCTAAATGCTTTTTTATATTTTTACATTTTTTTGTTTTTGTGAAGCGCCTCGTGATTTTTATCTTGAGAGGCGCTATAGAAATGATATTTTCTTTTATTTTTTTCTTCTGTTTAAAAAAAGTGCCTCAGATTTCTTACAAAGAAAAATGTTTTCTCTCATTTATCAGTAACTTCAAATAAACACGTGAGTAATCCCGAGTACTCATTTATCAACTTGGAAAATAAATATGAGAATATCTCAAATTTCTGAGTATGGAAAAAAATGACATTCTAGTCCCCTCTTATCAGCCGATTCAAAAATAAACCATCCCAATTTATGGGACCACAAAAGTAAACGGAGTACTGACTCTCCTAACAAAGACTAAAAAAGTGCATCTCAAACCTGGAACATGCCAAACATTTGAGTTCCTGGAATCGATTCGGAACTTTTGTGAATCGATTCTGAATCTTTATAAATAAGAATCCCGATTCAGACTTGAATCGATTTTTTTCAGCACCTCTAGTTTTCAGTTTGAAGTAAACTTTGTGATTTAGAGGAACCTGATAATTAAAACATTCATTGACGTTTTTCTTTCCTCCTGCCTCACCCCCACCCCCCCACCCCCAGGTGTGGCGCTCTCTGAGCCGGTCTGTGCAGAGCTCCAGGCTGCCGACGTGCAACGCCAACATCCAGAGGGAGCGGGCGGAGATCTGGGTGTTCTGTGATCTCCTGTACTCGGAGCAGGTGGGACGACACCTGAAGGATGAGCTGAAACTGGTGGGAAGAGTCAGCCTGTCGGTTCATAAACTGGGAAACATCTTCAGCATGTAGAGGAGGTCCAGCTGGAAGCATCTGCCGAGATGCAACACATCATCTGGTCCGATGGGATTCCTGTTAACTTTATTTTCTCTCTAAGTGTTTTTCTCCCCAGAAGAAGCTACAATGATGTTCTGCTGAGCTGTGGTGGCCTCATGGAGGGGGCCATCGACTAGCACACTGCTGCTAACCACTTAAACATTCTCCCTCTCCTGATAATAACTTTTTACTCTCTTTGACATTGAATGTGCTACCACTAGTTTACCCGTTTAATTATAGATTCACTAGGATAAATACAATAAAGTTTATCTCTCACCAAATAGAATATTTACTAAGAAATCACAATATAACTATAGAAACACTACTTTGTTTGTGTGTGTGTGTGTGTGTGTGTGTGTGTGTGTGTGTGTGTGTGTGTGTGCGTGCGCGTGCGTGCGCGTGCGTGTGTGTGTCTGCTCTGTCTTCTCGATCCCCAGTGAGTCGTGGTGGATGGCTGCTTATACTGAGCCAGGATCCTCTGGAGGTTTCTTCCTGTTAAAAGGGAGTTTTCCTCTCCACTGTCGCTGCATGCTTGCTTAGTATGAGGATTGCATCAAGTCACTGACACTAGTCAGTGACTTGATGCAATTTGCTGGGTTCCTTATATAGGAAACATTATTTCTGATTGGCTTAATGAACTGACCTGAATTGGAATGTTTATTATGTGAAGTGCCTTGAGACGACTCTTGTCGTGATTTGGCGCTTTATAAATAAACTTGAATTGAATTGAACTGTGATTGCTTCAGTAATAACACGACTCCAGACCCTACAAAAGCCACATGCTGTGATTTCACTGCTTTTTGCCTTCTCTGAGAACAATCGTTTCATCTGTCTCATTCAAAGAAGTCTGATGAAAAACTGCATGACTGTTCAGACTGAGGGTGCTTTAAATATCACCAGATCCGGATCTGATTTAGCGCCATAAATGAAAGTCTCTGATTAGAAAACAATCTGACTGTGAAATGGGCCACTTGGACATAATCCACACATTCACTCATAGTAATGAATTATCTACAGATCAGGACAGCTTTAGGGTTTGGTGCTGAGACACTGAATGCAGCAACGAGACAAAAGTCCAACAAAGACAAACTACAATAGGAACCAACGCCACCATGGCCGTAAAAACAGAGGCTTCTTTAACCCAGCCGTCTCGGTTTGCTGGGCTGTTTTATTCATGTGAGGAGTGTTTAGTCTGCGTTTTTATTATTAATGATTCTGAAATGCACCTCGAGTGGTTTGAAAATGGCTTCCTTGCTGAGAATATGTAGATATTCTAATCCTAATCATAAAACTCCATCAGGGAAAAAGCCTGTGTACTTCTGGATCAGAGTTTCATGTTTATTTATTTATTTTTTTATACGTTTTAACATTTTTGATGCTGATTTGTTTAATGGAGGGGGGAGGGACCCTCAAGCAGAATCATCTATATGGGTCAAGTCTCTTGTGTATTTATGAATTTGGTTTCAGATGTCGGTGTTTGTGTATTTCATTCTGAGGCTAACGTCTGTGGTTTGAATAAATATTAATATTTTTCATAATCTTGATGTTTGGTGATGTGTGTTCTGCAAAAGCCGCAGCAGCAGTCTCCTGGCTAGCACACACACTCACACACACACACACTCACACAGCCATTCCAAAGCCTCTGAATGAAAGAGAGCAGCATGAACACAGTAAACCCCCACACTCTCCCTTGTTTCTATGGGAACCAGTCCCCACATCTGCGTGCTGCATTAATATCTAGGTTACCGGATATGACGTAGGTGCCATGCCTCCTTGTCCATCTCTAATCAGATGTTTAGTTCATCCTCGTCGCCTCCTAGCACTCTACACGTGACAAGACAACGAATGCTCATAGCTAACTTATCATTAGGGGGTTACAACATCCCAGCTCAAAAGTTGAAGTGATCGTGTTTTTGGTATTTTCACGTCACATCCCCGTCTTGCGTTTTATTGTGAAAGACTAGTTGGAGTCTTCCAGTTCTCCTCCAGCTCTTCGGTGTCTCCCAAGACAAAAACATCGTCTAAATAAGTTTTACGAGGCGTTGAAATTAGTTATCATTGTACGAAACAAATAAAACGTTACAAATTCCCCAAAACATATCTATTTTGCTTTAATACAAAGATTTTACCAAACTAACGTGTTTTATTTTGACGGGCTCTACCGGAAACGGTTCGAGTGCCGCTGACTTGACGTCATTCTGCTCTCGACAACGAGAACGACAGAGCCGCAGGCGTCTCCATCCCGACGGTCTTCGACAAAATAACGGAACATCTGAGTTGTGAAGAAGCTCTTGGGGTCGTGTCCATGAAGATTTCGACTCCTTTCACGGCTGGAGATATTTGTTTGTGAGAACTTTTACAGTTTAAAGGTGAGAGAGCGTAAAAGCGATCCACGCGAGCTAATCGGCTAAGTCAGCTAACGCTGGCAGTCTTTGTGGTTCCTGTTTCCTGAAGCGATTTTCGGCTGTTTCTGCTCCGCAGCTGCTTCTGTTCGTGATGATTTAGAAGTAAAAAAGCAGAAAACTCAGGTTTTTTTTAAGGGTAAGGAACTTTGTCAAGGCGAAAGTAATTTTAAATATATTTTAGCTCCTTTTCCAGCCTGGTTTTCTAAAACTCCAGCTGTATGGGGGTGGGGTGCGTCTGCAAAGTATGTTAACTTACAATAACCTTTTCATTAAATTAGTATTTTTTTTTGTCAGAATTGCGTGTTTGACGGTTAGTTTTTTTTTATTTTCTACAAGCAATTTCAAACATTTTCGACAAACGTATTCTAAAATATCAGATTCAGTAAGATTAATATTTTATTTAATGAACAAAATAAATTTTCAAAAAATGTTGGAAATAAAAAAAAGAATGGATTAATTTAATGTCGGAGATTATAAAAAAAGTACTTGTTTTCACCATTTAGTTTTTTTATATTATTACTTAGGAAAATTTCAATAAAAATGTTAAGATTTGTTTAGACTTAATTTTTTTTGCTAAAAAATGTCAAATTAAAAAGTCATGAAATGTTTGCAGAGAACTAAAATCCTTTCAGGATTATATTTAAATTTATTATTTACAGTCATATTTTTCAGCAAATCTTAAATTTTAATACATTTGATAAAAATAATGATGTGATTTAAAACGCATTCTCAAACTAAGAATGGGTTACAAAGTAATCCTGAAGTTGACTTGTTATTGAAATAAATCCGAATGGATTTCTTCGTATTATTTTCTTATAATGAAAAGAAACAGTTGTGTTAAACCGGAAACTTTGCTGCTGTTTGAAGCGTTGGACAAAAAACACAGTTGTGGATTTTTCTGGAGACCGCTCACATTCACTCTACTTGCACAGATAGATGAATTGGGTTTTAAGTGTTACTCTGATTTAAGTCGATCACGTCCAGCTCTTATTTTAGGAAGCTTAACTGGGCACATCTCTCTGATCATTATTTGATATTTCCTGTTTCTGGAGATGTGATGCGAGTTTTTAAGCGGACTAACGCGATGCTGCAGGTCAGTCTGACGTTCCTGAAACTTTGGTTCTTTAAAAGCCAGAGAACACAATGAAACGTCTTAATAAATCAGACTTATTAATGCATGCAGGTAATCATTTCTCTGGTTTAGTGCTTATTGCTGATCATTAGCGTAGATGATGAATGTGGTCCGCCGTGCTGCTTCCTGGGGAAACCCAGCATAACTGTTGCTGAAAATACAAGCAGGAAATGACGTCTTCCTTGTTTGACATCTCGAGCTGAAGATGTTTCAGTGAGCAGATAATCTGATGCGGAACGTGGCAGCCATGTTTAAGCTCTGAGCAGCTCATCGCTAACCTCTGATCTCCTCCCGTCCCTCAGGTGGAGCTGGGGCCTCCACAGATGTGGCCTGTACTTCCTCTCAGACTCCTGTTCATGAGGGCTGAAGATGTTTGTGTGACGGAGCGACTGTGGATTGGCCTGGAGGGATGACAGGACTTTAGCAGACATGGAGACAGGAGAGACGCACAGACAGATGGAAACGCCATATTTCCACCGCCACCATTCTCCACAATAGACCTCTCAGGACAACAGAGAAACTATTTTTCTATTATTTTCTACCCAGAGCTGATTCTTTTTTTGTGACTGACTGAAGCCATATTTAAGGAGACATCAGGATGAGCTCGGAGGGCTATCTGTACCGAGCGCTGTACGACTACAAGAAGGAACGGGAGGAGGACATCGACTTGCATGTTGGCGACACGCTGCTGGTCAGTAAAGGGGTTCTGCTGGCACTCGGCTGCAGCAGCGGCGCCGAAGAGCGGCCGTCGGAAATCGGTTGGCTGGTGGGCTTCAACGAGACCACTCAGGTACGACATCGAGCTGTCCCGCCTCGTCATCCTGGTCTGTTTGACTCACTGGAGAGTTCTGGTATTTCTGGTTCTCTAGTAGGAACATCAGGGTTGGGGTGTGTGTGAAGGGACTGCCGCCTCCACTGTGCCTCAATTATAAGAGATCCGCGTCCAAACTACTGCGGCAATTCGAGAGAACAACATTTAAATACATTTAATTAATGAATGATGGACCAGAACATACGTGCTGACCCGAACAGGCAAAGGGCTAGCGTTAGCCTAGCTTAGATGAGCCATCGCTATAAAAACAAATCAGCTAACTGGAGCCAAGAGCTAAAGAACAACAGATCATACGAACCTCATCATCATAGCGGGGGACAGGACACCGTTGTAAAACTTAAGTTTAACACTTTTATTTTCTCATTTAGATTAATTTAAAGGGACATTATGGAAGTGTGACAGCCAGAACATGTATAGAAATAATAAATGTCTTCTTCATACGTTCTCCTGCAATGCCCTGGTCCTGTAGAATGAGCCCTGGCATTTTTACTGTGATTGCCTGTTTTTCTGTAAAATCACAGAAAAAGAGAGATGCTCGGGTCGAGCAGGCTGCTTCATGCGCGTTCACGCTCAGGCATCGCCCGTAGCGTTTGCTATCCATAGCTTTAGCAGCAGAGAGAGAGGCAGTGCCACTTTGTCGCTGTTCCTAACGCCTAGTGACAAAGCTAGCTACATTTCTGAGGACCCTTAGCTACTTTCTGTAGAACTTTCTTCTAGATATTTCCTGCTAATTAGCAACAAAATAGCCATTTTCACTCCGAACCGTTGTTTGAACGTTGTTTCAGCTGTCATCAAGGATATAAATGTTACAGATACAAAAGATGTCACTGGTGCTTTAGTTCACCTAGTAAGACGTTGGACTCTCGTGCAGAAGACCTGGGTTTGATTCTGGGTGTGAACATAGTTTATTTAGAGTTTCTTTTTTACATTAATGGTATATTTTTTTACAGTAAGATGCCCAAATTTTTATTTGAGACTCGCCGAACGGCATTGAATTCACAGATAAAAAAGATGTGGGTTCAACTTTCATTTTGGAACAATTTTTCAAGCAAGGGAAGGGAATGATCTGAGCATGCAGGAGGACTGACCCATCTTAAACCTTTGTCGGCTGTGCTGAAGAGAAAGGTACAGAACCACATTATTTAATTAATTAGCTGCGTGTTCTCCTGTCCTCCGGGCCCCACACACACACACACACACACAAGGGACTGTCTCAGCTGTTATTTTCGTTAAGGAGTGTGCACGTACAGCATGCGCGCCTCGTGCACGAGCCTACTATTGAAGCTGCCGTTACGCTTTTGGCCTGAGGGGGCAATCGCAAGCATAAAAATTCAAAACTCCGTAAAGTCCCTTTAAAGTAATTTATTTCCTCATATGAAACGTTAGCGTGTGGAACCTTACAAACACTAGATTTGATGGTTTACAGGCAGATTATCATCTGGTATCAGTGTTTCTGCTTAAATGTTTGATAGTTTTAATATTTTTCTTTTGAATTGACTCATTTCTACTGACCTACCGTAGAACACGACCCCTTTTAGGTGAAAACTGTCTGAAAGTAACAAAACGGAGTTTAGAAAAAGTCGTTTTTATGATGGTTTGTTTTTAAACAGACGCTAGCTTAGAAACTCGGACATTAATATGTTTGATGATTAGCTAAACGTTTTAATACACAGAATAAAACCCTGATGGCTTTTGGCTCTCGTCACCCAGCTCCGCCCTATTCTGATGATGTCATCAGTGTGGCTTTTAAACAGCAGGTAGTTTGTTTTGCTGACCGACTGGTTTCCACCACTGGCTGCTGTTTATGAATCCCATGGGGAGCGTTTAGACCAGAGATCTGCTGACATCAGCTGATTAGACGCAGTCACACCAACGGCTGCAGCCAGCATCAGAGCTGTGGCCACAAACCCGTCTCCTCAGCTCTGGTGGAGTTGGTTCTGGCTCAAACACAAGGCCCAGTAGAACTTCTGGTTCATAAATAAAACTAGAGTTTATTCTCGTTAGTGTTTCCTACAGAACCAGGTTGTTTTCTGAAACATCCCAGAGCCGGACTCGTCCTGATCCCCTTCAGGAGGAGCCCGGCTCTGCAGAGATGAGATCAGCTGTAACGTGATGCTGAACCTGCTTCTAAATCCAGCCTTCATCCTGCATGGAGGCGTCATGGAACACGGAGCTTCAGTCTGTTCTACGGTCACACGTCTACGGTGGCGGGTTATAGAGTTGAGAACATGCCAACGCCACGCAGGATTCAAACCTGCAACCTTGTGTATGCACTGTACCAGCTGCTCCACCATGCAGTCCGAATCTGGGGCTACGGTGGTTTTTAGGTTAGGAGTTCACCTTGTGATCAGAGGGTTGCCTGTTCACAACCCAGGCTCTGTCTGTGTCCTTGGGCAAGGCACCTCACCTGGCTGACTTCAAAGCAGCGCTGAACAGATGCAGCCATTTACTCTAAAATATCTGAAACTGATATTATTCTCATTCTGACTAGGGATGGGCACCTTTGACATTTGAATCGATCCGGTACTAATTCCCGGTACCTAGGAATCGATACCGGTACTTAACGGTACCAATTTTTGATACTTTTGAGTGTTTAATATTTTAATTCTCTTTTATAATTAAATACATATTTTTCTCAATTTATAACCATATTTGATAAATATCACGATAAATAACAAACAACTGTTTGTATTTTAACATCGTCCTTGTAGTTTTATAAGCTGATAATTAAACTGAAGCAAACATCTTTACTGTGAACTACATTTACTGTGTATCTTCATTCCTTTTGCCGTCCTTTTTCATGTGATTTTTCCTTCTGGGAAGTTAGAATTTCCGAGGAGAAAGCGAACGCATCATTAGCTGATAACAATGGTGGCAATGGAAGCTAACATATCAAGCTAACGTTATCTTAAACAGTTTATTTAGCTGCTGGAGCAGATTAAAACGATGATGCCTCACACTTAGATCGTTGTCGCTGGTTTCATCTTCACCCAATCACCCGTCGCATTTAGTAAAGTGAAGCCAAACTTTAGAGCGCGTTCATGTTCTTTTAGTCGGGAATTCAGAGTTCCGAGGAGAAAGCGAACGCACCGTTAGCAGAACGGAAGCTAACATTTCAAGCTAACGTTATCTTAAACATTTTATTTACCTACCGGAGCAGATTAAGATGAGGATGTCTCACTTAGATCGTTGTCGCTGGTTTCATCATCACCCAGTTACCCATCACATTTAGTGAAGTGGACCCAAACATTAGCGTGCGTTCTTTCTACCATGCTGCTCTGTTTACAACTGGCTCGCAGCGACCGACGACATAACGCTCTTGCGCATGCGCAGCTGTCTAGGCAAGTTCTCGTTATGAAGGACGGGTACCGAAACGAGGCACCGTTTCAAATGACGTGAATCGGTGCTCAGTTGGTGCTATGGAATTCGGTCGGTACCTTAAAAAGTACCGAATTTGGTACCCATCGCTATTCTGAACCCCAGGGAATTCTGGGAAGTTTTTACCAGAGGTATAAGGTCACGTTTAGCACAAGGCATTATGGGTACTGTAGTTGTTATGCTGGTTTTCCATTGTTTTTAGTGATCTAAAATTACAACTTTGCTCAGGAACATTGTCATTTTTCTGCCTCCCCCCTCCCGTGGGGCTCCGGTACACACACCAGCTGTCAACAACAACATGGAGTCAGATTAAGGTTGTCGGAATGCTCAAAATGATTCCGGATGGTTTAGTTTAGGTTTTCCTCTCTCATCCTCATGGTTCATCCTGTCGGTTCTCTGACTCATCGTGACCAAGTGTCACAAGATAAAAATTTTGCGATAATTCACTAAAGTGTGCAGAAAAACCTGTTTCCTCTAATAAACGTCTTGTTTTCATTCTGCTGCATTCGTCAGGAAAAAGGAGACTTCCCGGGAACATACGTAGAGTTTGTTGGGAGGAGGTGGATGTCCCCGCCCACTCCGAAGCCCCGCCCACCCAGACCACCATCTGCATCATCAGTGAGGATGGACTCGGAGTCAGAGAGTGAGTGTTTCCATGTGGAGGAGTTATCCTGCTTCCTGCTCGTCGGAAATAACTACCGGTCTGTTCCGGTCGCTAGAAATCCTGAATGTGACTAGAAGTGTTTAACCGTGAAAAGCTGCTCGCTGTGACTCGGGTTCCTACTGCTGCTCCCTAACCGGGCCTCTAAAGCCAGGTCAGAACTTTCCAGGTCTGTTAGACCCGGATCCAGAATAACTGCAGTGTTTCCCCTAGGAATTTTTCCAGCTGTGGTGGGGTGTGTGTGTGTGTGTGTGTGTGTGTGTGTGGGGGGGGGGGGGGGGGGATTATGAAACGTCTCACCTTTATGTTAATACTGTTTTATCTGATGCACTCCACTCTGAACTGCATCAATCTACTGCTGCATTTTAATAACTAGTATTAAAGGTGAATACACCAATATTTGCACAAGAATAATTTCTGTTTTAAACCCTCAGTGACACACTTTGCGGGGGGGGGGGGGGGTGTTGGTATTTAGTTTTTCTTGGCATCTGGAAGAACATCTCCTTCTGCCCCCTTTATTTTGGTCCAAGCTCATTACTGGACTGGCCCTGTTAGATACCTTCTACACCCCTGCTTAGTAGACTTAATGAAGTATTTTTAAGCCAGTATAAAAATGACTGAATCACAAATTTACATATTTGGCATTATTGACCAATATCTTTGATTTAATTTATTTGTTAAGAGCATCAAGAAGCTTTACAGTGAACATTATAATAAAGTACATGTTTCTAGTGCAGAGAGGAGACGACCCATAGAAGCACTGATCTGATCTCATTTCAGAGAAAAATAGAACAGGTCAGATGCACCAAATAAATAAAATTACTAACATAAACTCAGGAATCTGTTTCTTTGCTTCGTTGTTCTGGTGCTGAAAACATCACTAATGCGGATCAAAGGAGACACACAGATGAATGCACCTCTTATTTATTATTGGGAAATAAGTGGGTGTGGTTCACATCAATACATTATTTTAAATCTGAAATTGATATGGATTGATCAGAAGTTGCTGTGTGTATTGTTTATTTATAAACTATTGTTTATCTGAAAACTATTTACAGAGCAGCCTCAGAACTGAGATTAAATATTTTTGATCACAACAGTAAAGGAACTGTTACAGAACAAGTTTTTCAGTAAAATCAGAACATTAATATTTAAGTGCATTAATTAATACATCTGAACTCATGCAGTAGGAACTAGGAAATATGAAATACTAGAATCATTTTATTTTAATTTGATTTAACTGATTTTTTCCTAACTTTGTTGGCATTTTTCCCACACACAGTTAAACAAAACAATGTTGATTAAGGTGTGTGTGTGAGAGAGAGAGAGATGGAGAGTTAAAATAATTTTAAAAAACCCGACCGGAGCGGAGGCAGTGACCGACACATGCACGAGCTGTTTTCAGCTCTGTCTTGTCAAATGCACCACGCACGTTACCAAAAAAGTAACTTTAAATATTCAACCGATAAAGAGGCGAGCTGGTGTTCACGAGTGTGTGTGTGTGTGTGTGTGTGTGTGCGTGTGTGCATGGACGAGTGTGCGGGTGATTGTATGTCCACTTTGGAAGTCGGGTGCGGGAGGGGAACTGTAATTTTTAATTGTTTTATACTTGGGGAGGGGGGCTGGGATGGGAATGTGTGATCTATGGGGCCATTTTAATCTGTAAAGCACTTTGAGTTGCATTTTTTGTATGAAAAGTGCTTTATAAATAAAGTTGATTTGATTTGATTTGAAGAAAACGTGAGCAACAGTGAAGCAAGCACAGAGATCCGTTACTGTGTGTGTGTGTGTGTGTGTGTGTGTGTGTGTGTGTGTGTGCGTGTGTGTGTGTGTGCGCGCGCGCCGGACTGAGCTCCCGGCTGCAGTTTTGTGTGTAGGGAGGGGCGGGCGCTCAATGTGACTGGCCAATCACAGAGCGTGAAGACAGTTACCCAATGAGGATTTTCCTTCAGCACGATTACAGATATTTACGAGTTTTACTCGTTTCATGCTCGTATTCGTCAAAAATGCTTTATCCGTACGCTCATCCCTAGCTGTAACCACCCTGCCCTGCCTCCTCCTCCTTGCTGCCTGCTGGCTGTGATCACAAGCAACAACAGAATAGTTCCCACTGCTTCTTCAGGAAATGGCGCAAAAAAAACAACAAAAAAAAATCAATAAAACTTCTTGTAGGCGTGGCGCTGCCCGCCACGGCTACGCCTATGTAAGGGAAACACTGAACTGAATCCTCCATTTTCAGAGCCGCTGGTGTTTAGTCACAGCTGCTTCACCAGAGAACAAAGGAAGTGTGTGTGTGTGTGTGTGTGTGTGTGTGTGTGTGTGTGTGTGTGTTTTACCTCGTTACCGACTGGTTTCCTACAACATAACATGTTTTCTAGTCTTCACACTTCCTGCTGAGTGTTGGAGGGTTTATGTGAGAATACTACATTACCCATGAGCCTCAGCTTTTCTGCTGCAGGTAACGGCGGTTCAGTCGTAGACCATCGGGTGGTTTTGATGAAGTCAGATGTTTAACTGTTTCTCCTCATCTGTGTTGTTGTTTATTGTTTGTTTTCCAGGCTTCCTGTTGCCGGATCTTCCAGAACAGTTTGGGCCCCCAGACACCGCCCCCCCTCTCCTCAGCAGACTGATGGAGCTCATAGAGACCAAAGGTAGTGACGACTACGTTTGTGTTCTGATTTCAGCTCCAAAGAAACAAGAAATTTGGAGAAATTATCAATAATCAATTTCTTTAACCACTTCTTGCATTGCTAGCATGCTTTTATTTTTTAAATCTCCAAGTGAAAGTCACTTCCTCATTCTGGAGGCTAAACTCCAGTTTGTCTCACGGCGTTATAAAAAGCCAGATAAACCTCTGTTATACGCTGTTAGAACACACACACACACACACACACACACACACACACACACACACACACACACACACACACACACACACACACAGACATGTTTTAAAACAAATGCAAATGAATCCTGTTTTATTTAGGTTGTAATTTATGTCAGGGCTGCATGTTGGCGCAGTGGTTAGCACTGTTGCCTCGCAGCACGAAGGTTGCAGGTTCGAAACTCGACTGCAGCCTTTCTGCGTGGAGTTGCGTGTTCTACCCAAGCATGCGTGGATTTCCTCCGGGTACTCCGGTTTCCCCCACAGATCCAACATGCCCTATAGGTTATAGATTGTAAGTCAAAGCGTCTGCTAAATAGGGTTGTCACGGTAACCGGTGTAGCGGTAAACCCCGGTAAAAAAGTTGACAATAATAATAACCGTCTTGTTTTTAAAACTATATTATCTCGGTGGGTTTACCGTGGCTGCGGTGTAGGCGCGGTGACCCTTACCAGCCACCGTATCATCTGCTGAAGTTGCCGGCGGCACATGCGCACTTTGTTGTTTACAACCAAAACTTTCTTGAATCTAAAGCTGAAATAATGGCCAAAGGAGGAGACGGCAGTGCTCAGGACATTTATTATCCCTCAAAGAAGACAAAGTGGGAAGTACGGGCATTTTTTGGATATCTGAAGAATGCCGAGGGACAGTTGATAGAAGACGGCTATCCTGTTTGCAGCACGTGCAGAAAAAGTGTCTGTGAAAGGCAGCAACGCTTCAAATCTCATGACACATCTGCGTGACCATCACCCACAACTCTACAGTCAACGCAAGGCAAGCTAACGTTAGCGTTTTAGCTAAAATGTGTGATCCGAGGATTTGGGTTGAGGGAGAATGCAACGAGTCGCTATATAAAGCAGCCGCAGCGCCGCTACCTGCATATAAACCGTGTCGCGGACACCGCCATGTTGAAATGACGCTATGCATTACGGGGCTCCCAGGGGCCGATAAGAGTTGGTCTCTCTCCGAGAATAATTATGAATTTAACAACGATTACTGCCTGATGACATTTTCCCACATCTGCGAAGCTCACTGGAAGGACACAAACCGAGGACGATATTTTCCTGATATAGGGTTTATTACTCAAGTAAGGGTAAAAAAGTATCTGATTAGAAGGCTACTTGAGTACTGAGTATCATCTGATGTAATATTTTTAAATGATGACATCAAACAGACAAAAAATAAGAAGTTATGGGCAAATATTGGTATTTTAAAGACTAAAGGGGAAAAATGTAAACAAATAAACAACATAATTACAAAATAACACATTTTAGGCTAAATTTAGACACAAACTGAGGACAATATTTTCCTGATATACAGGGTTTATGTAGTTGTCTGAAAATGTAACACGTTTAAAAAAATACCGTGATAATACCGAAAACCGTGATAATTTTGGTCACAATAACCGTGAGGTTAAATCTTCACACCGTCACAACCCTACTGCCAAATAAATAAACATAAACATTTCCCTGAATCTGAACCAGGATTTTAGAGATGGTTCTGTTTTAAGTTTAGTCGAGTCTCGCTGTGAGAGCTGTTGAGGTTTTTCGTTAAAGGAAACCTCCTCACACGAACTGCTGTTGCTCTGCAGAGGCAGGAGGATGTTGAACCGACAACCCAGAGAGATCAAACTCAACAAAACGTTAAAGGTAGCATAGAAGTTCCTGGAAATCTACATCAAAGGGCCAACCCCTTTATTTCAGGCTCCTCCCCTAAGCAATGACAAACCGTCAGAGGAGGCGTCTGATTCCAGCGTTTGTTTCAGGTGTGGAAAGCCCCGGGCTGTACCGCTGTCTGAGTGGAGGAGCTCTAGACGCCCGACATCTGGCCGAGACCGGTAAGTCGGACAGAACCGTAACGGGCTCTGCCTGTGGCGAATCCCCGGCTCTTAAGCTTTGTTTGTTTTCAGATCTGGAGCAACTGGACGTCCCGTCCCTCTGCGATGGAGTGGTCCGGTTCCTACAGGAACTCCCATGTCCCGTTCTGCCCCCCTCCCTGCAGGCTGACATGATCCACACTGTCCAAGGTCTGCAGAAACCAGAACCTGGTACTGGAAAAGCCTCCTGGTCCGGTTTTTCAGAGACAGTCCATCATCAGCTCTTTTTAGGGTTTATCTAAATGAAAATGATTAATGTAAAATTTATCAGAAACAACTGCAAGTTCTCTGTGGTGGAATAAGAACCTTCAGCTTGGATTTAGTATTAAAGTTTTTCATGAATCAGATTAAATGGAACTAGTTAAAACCGGTAGAGCTGTTGTACACACGAGTCATCAGCTGTTAGCAGGAGTGTTTCACTCTCCACCACCACAAGGTGGCAGTGCTGCGCCAAGCTGCAGGGACCAACAACCGGACTCTGTAGTCAGACTCTAGGTCCAGCATCAGAGTCCTCCGGTTCAGTGACCAGAACCATCTCCAAACAAATCTCATCCCCGACCGTTTCTGTCTGCAGAAGTCCGAGACCCAGAGGACTGTGCCCAGGTACTGAGGGGAGTGGCCAGTTCACCCTCATGCCCCGCCCAGTACGGTCTGACCCTGTTCAGCGTGATCCGACACCTGGCACGTCTGTGTCTGCACGGCTCCAGAAACCAGCTGAGTCCAAGAGGTGTCGCCGAGAACTTCAGCCCACTGCTGTTCAGACATGTTCCAGGGTCAGACATGCACACACACACACACACACACACACTACACACACACACACACACCTTCAGAAAACTATGAAACTCTAGAGTTCGACAAACCTGACAGATCTACATCACACTGTCACTAACATTCACGCACTCACCCATCTTGACTCACGACGGGGAAGGCTGTTGTTGGTTTAGCGTCCAGGAAACCGCAGAGAACGCCTCTGCTAGCAGAAGCTAACCATTAGCATTAGCAACTCCACCACAAAGCAGAACTCCTCCAGGCTTGTGTTATTTGTGGAGATAAAACATCAACGTTGCAGAGCGACCAGAGTCAGTGGTAGAGTCGTGTGGCTGTTAGCCAATCAGAGGAGAGACGTCCAAATATCAGGAAATAAGACTACATCCCGCCGTGGTCTGCCTCTCTCTCCTCCAACTGACTTCTCCAGCATTTTGTCCCCCGAATACAACTTACAAGGCATTCATTCATTCATTCATTCATTCATTCATTCATTCATTCATACTAGAGACCACTGTAAATGTATTGATTAGATGTATTTAATGTTTAGGTCGTGATGTTAACGTCTTACTAAAAACTCTTGATCTGGGTGTTGAGCTGCTGCTGGAGGAGTTCGTGACCTTTAGCTCTGCTTCTGTCTCTGTTCAGGTCCGAGTCTGGTCCAGATCCTCTGGTTCAGGTCCTGGAGGTTCTGATCACCAGCGAGCTGAACATGAACCAAGCTGCACCAGGTAACGGAACCACCCAGCTTATATTATGGTCTGTATGAGAGGTAGCAGCTGGTTCTGGTGTCACCAGAAGCAGCCGTTTCTCGGTCTGATGTGTTTATTGTTGTCACTCAGGATGTCAAACAACAACAACAATAATAGTCTAAACTTTTCACCAGAGCTGTTTTATTTGAACACAAACTGACCAACATATCATCATCGGAACACCATCCGGTTACCATGGTGACGCCAGATGTGTGGGACTGCTTAGAGACCAGCTGAGGATGAGGAGGAGACTCTTCCTCCTGAGTCAGGCAGACCAGCAAACAGCAGCCGAAGCGATGACATCATCCATCCACCGGCTGAGAGATGCAGCGGAGGAGGGGAGGAGGTGTTGCCTCGGTGACATCACTGCCTTTGTGTGATTGGCTGAGGGCAGCAGTGATGTCACACATCTCCAAGCTGCTCTCCTGAGCTTTGAACAGGAGCTGAGAGGGAGACGTATGGGGGGGTTAGGTGGTCTGCTGCAGGAGAACGGGCCGATCCGTGGTTCTGACATCCTGAGTTCTGCTCAGCTGAGTCCAGAGAAATGTGTGAAGCAGTCAGGAGGTGGTGTAGTCGGACTGGGACGACGTCAGTGTTTCCTGAGCAGAACCGGAGCGGTCGGCAGGAAGACTTGAGATCCTAACGGAGGCTTTTGTATTTTATCTGGAAACATGGAGCGAGAGGACGGCTGCAGGTCCAAGTCCGAGTCGGTCCGGGGACGAGACAAGATCCTATGTTACATCAGCATGCAGAGTCCAGGTAGGACCTGAGGAGGTCTGGGTTCTGATCCGGTTCCACAGCCACCAGAGATGGTGAAGAACCTGTGTTCCTAATGATGGCTGGTTCTGTTGGGTCTAGAGATGCTCTGATTCCGGTTCTGTACTGCTCCGGACCCGTTTTTCCTGCAGTGACTGAGCTTCCTTCTGACCTCCGGATGATCTGATATATAAAGCGTTCTCCCGATGCTCCGTTCTTCTTCTGGACCCGTTTGGTTTTAGCCTAAACTCTTAAACCGCATCAGTCAGCAGAGCAGCTGTAGTGGACCCATCATGAAGATCCTGTAGAAGATAAAATATTAAACCCATGACGTGATGACGGCCATCTTGGCTCGGTGATCACCTGAGCTCACCTGTTCACCTGTTTGTGTTTCAGCTTTACCTCCGAAACCCGTCAAGTCATCGACTCCTGCAGCGTCCAGCAGCTTCAACAACAGCATGTCTCTACAGGACGCCGAGTGGTACTGGGGAGACATCTCCAGGTAACGCATGCACACACAAACAAACACACACACACACACACACACACACACACACACACACACACACACACACACACACACACACACACACATCTAGGGATGGGTACCTTTGACATTTGAATCGATCCGGTACTAATTCCCGGTACCTAGGAATCGATACCGGTACTTAACGGTACCAATTTTCGATACTTTTGAGTGTTTAATATTTTAATTCTCTTTTATAATTAAATACATATTTTTCTCAATATATAACCATATTTGATAAATATCATGATAAATAACATACAACTGTTTGTATTTTAACATCGTCCTTGTAGTTTTATAAGTTGATAATTAAACTGAAGCAAACATCTTTACTGTGAACTAAATTTACTGTGTATCTTCATTCCTTTTACCGTCCTTTTTCATTTGATTTTTCCTACTGGGAAGTTAGAATTTCCGAGGAGAAAGCGAACGCACCATTAGCTGATAACAACGGTGGCAATGGAAGCTAACATATCAAGCTAACGTTATCTTAAACAGTTTATTTACCTACCGGAGCAGATTAAGATGAGGATGTCTCACTTAGATCGTTGTCGCTGGTTTCATCATCACCCAGTTACCCATCACATTTAGTGAAGTGGACCCAAGCGTTAGCGTGCGTTCTTTCTACCATGCTGCTCTGTTTACAACTGGCTCGCAGCAAGCGACGACATAACGCTCTTGCGCATGCGCAGCTGTCTTGGCAAGTTCTCGTTATGAAGGACGGGTACCGAAACGAGGCACCGTTTCAAATGACGTGAATCGGTGCTCAGTCGGTACTATGGAATTCGGTCGGTACCTTAAAAAGTACCGAATTCGGTACCCATCCCTACTCACATCTGTGTGTTTGCAGAGAGGAGGTGAATGAGAAGCTGAGAGACACGGCTGACGGGACGTTTCTGGTGCGGGACGCCTCCACTAAGATGCACGGAGACTACACTCTGACTCTGAGGTAGAGCTCTCACCTGGGGGGGAGGGGGGGGGGGGGGTTACTCGGGTAGAAGTGTACTAGTACCAGCTTCAAAAGTATAAATGCTTATATAATTGTTGTCCAGTCACCATCAAACTCGCTCCATCAGGATGGAACCAGTTACCTGAACTGGTTTTTGTGTTTTTTTTTAATAAGCTGAAATGAAAACCAAGTTTTTAAATCTAAGGAGTAGAAAGTAAAACGTTCTCCCCTGTGAAGCTTTTCCAGGGTATCCGCGGGTCCTTAAAAAGTCTTAAATTAGCTTTTCCAAATTTAAGACCTTAAAAATCCTTAAAAATGACAAATAATCCTTAAATCCAGTTTCCAAAGGTCTTAAATTTTCAAAGACCCAATAAACAAGATATTTTTATTTCTATAAAATTTTTGTGAATTTCTAGTTGGTGTTCAGCATTTTTTGTGTATGATGTTGGCGTAAGCGGAACCGTACACATTCAGTTGGTTGTGAAAGGGGGCTATTTTTAGGTGAGCACATTAGCTGGTTAAGCTAGTGGGAGCTTGCGCCATGGGGATGTGCAAGTTTAATGGTAACTGGATGGCTAATCCCACGTTCGCGACGTGGTTAGCACCGGTTCCAGGCAATAGCTGGAAATTATAGCTTAAATTTAATTATAAAAATAGCTTAAATTTGGTCAAAGTGGCCTTAAAAAGTCTTAAATTTGGCTCCCTTACACCTGCAGATACGCTGTTTTAAACGTAAACACGGAACACTCGCCCCTGCCGTCGGCTCTCATCCCTGGGACATGTCCGCCGAAATAGGGACCCACATTACCGGAGGAAACGAGATGGCGCTAAACACCAGACCCCGTTTTCTAGGTCCAAACGTCTTTTGTTGTCCGTGACTTCAGCTGGTGTTTTTCTTTTTGGGACCCTTGAGTTGAAGCGGTAGCAGCCGGCTGTTTCTCCTCTGATGTTGTTGAGCGGAGAACCTCACACCTGTGGTGTTCTGGTGCCGAGCACGTGATGACTGGAGGACCCAGGGCGGTGCGGCGGTTGGGTGAGACCGACAACCGGTTGGTCCGATGGCCGGTTTTGGTCTGAAACGTGTTGTTGGTGGAGGTTCTTGGACAAATGCGGGAGAACCGCTTTATTTATCAGATTAAGAGCTAGAACGTGTTGGAACATTTGTTCTATCATGTTTTAAACACATTTGTCTGTGACACCTTTGGTTATTGAGTTGGACCCGATCCGAACCGGTGCTGCAGGTTCTGTTTTAGGTTTGGGGTTCTTAGGCCTGGTTCTGTTGGGTTTGTGTGACCCGGTTCTGATCCTCCTCTGATCTGCAGGAAGGGAGGCAACAACAAACTGATAAAGATCTTCCACCGGGAAGGGAAGTACGGTTTCTCCGACCCGTTGACCTTCAGCTCGGTGGTGGAGCTCATCAACCACTACCGACACGAGTCTCTGGCCCAGTACAACCCCAAACTGGACGTGAAGCTGCTGTACCCGGTCTCCAAACACCAGCAGGTCGGTACCGCCGGGTCGGCCGAAACTCTGTGAGCTGCCGCTGATCTGCTGGCTCTGATTGGACTTGGTTCTGCTGTTCAGGACCAGGTGGTGAAGGAGGACAGCATCGAAGCTGTGGGGAAGAAGCTCCACGAGTACCACCTGCAGTACCAGGAAAAGAACCGCGAGTACGACCGACTGTACGAGGAGTACACCAGAACATCTCAGGTAGGCGCTCGGAACCAGAGACCGGACCGCACCGTCCGATCCCAGACCCGAACATCTCCTCTCTCGTACCACAGGAGATCCAGATGAAGCGGACGGCCATCGAGGCGTTCAACGAGACCATAAAGATCTTCGAGGAGCAGTGTCAGACTCAGGAACGCTTCAGCAAAGAGTACATCGAGAAGTTCCGCCGGGAGGGCAACGACAAGGAGATCCACAGGTAGGCCGTTGCCATGGTAACTGTAGCCCAGACCATAAAAGGATTAGAGGAGGAGCACACACCCACAGGGATGATGTCTGGTTTCCATGGCGGCAGAGGGAGCAGGATGAGCCCGCCTTTCTGTCGGCCAATCAGATTGTTTCATTCTTAAACCCGTTTATAACAGCTGGAAACCGGTTCTGTTGTCGGTTCTGTTTGGATCTTCGATCCCATCCTGGTATCTAACTTATATTCTGACTTCCCGTTGTGTTCCCGAAGGATCATGGAGAACTACGACAAGCTGAAGTCCCGGATCAGCGAGATCGTGGACAGCAAGCAGCACCTGGAGGCGGACCTGAAGAAGCAGGCAGCCGACAACCGAGAGATCGACAAGAAGATGAACAGCATCAAACCGGATCTGATCCAGCTGCGCAAGACCAGGGACCAGTACCTCATGTAAGCGACACCGGGACCGGGATCAGGGGCGAGCCGAGGGTCAGAACTTCTGCTGAACCTTTCTGTTTGCAGGTGGCTGACCCAGAAAGGAGTCCGGCAGAGGAAGCTGAACGAGTGGCTCGGCCTGAAGAATGAGACCACTGAGGAGTAAGTCTCTCAAACACACACACGTGGTTCTGGTTCTGTCCCTTCTTGGTGTCCTGACCCGTCTTCTGTTGATCCCTCAGTGAGTACAGCATGGTGGAGGACGAGGAGGACCTTCCTCACCACGACGAGCGTCTGTGGCGTCTGGGAAACATCAACCGTAATCAGGCCGAAGCTCTGCTGCGGGGGAAGAGAGACGGGACCTTCCTGGTCCGGGACAGCAGCAAACCGGGCTGCTACGCCTGCTCTGTGGTGTAAGCCCCGCCCCCTCCGCACCTATTCATGCTTGGCTTAAGCTGGAAGCTTTAGTTTTTCCTATTTAAGGGAAAAAATGAATGGTTAGAGATGTGAAGATTCAAGTTAGGAACGTTATCCCAAAAAGGATTTCTTCATTTGTTTATTTAATCTGAACGTCGGCAGCTTTTATTTTCCTAACGCCGTTTCCTCAGACTGGACCTGAAGCTGCTCTGCGTCCTTCCTGTCTGTCTCACCTGTGTGTCTGTCTCCTCGTTAGGGTGGATGGCGAGGTGAAGCACTGCGTCATCAACAAAACCGGCACCGGTTACGGCTTCGCCGAGCCCTACAACCTGTACGGATCTCTGAAGGAACTGGTCCTGCACTACCAGCACACCTCACTGGTCCAACACAACGACTCGCTCAACGTCACGCTGGCCTTCCCCGTCTACAGCCAGCAGAGGCGGTGACCCCGCCCCCTCTGGTCTCGCCCATCTTTGGTCTTGAGTGGAAATCCGAACCACACTTCATGTTTGTCGTCGTGTCACTAAGACTTAACAAACATTTTACTGTGAAAGTCCCCAAATAAAAGCTTTAACTTCCTGTTGGGATGACGGGAGCTGCTTGACCCGATTCTGTGGGACTGGACCGAACCGGATGCGCGTCCTTCACCCTGCAGGTGGAGATCGCACCAGAACGTTTAACAGCTTCTTAACTAAAATAAATGAAAAGCTTCAAAATAACCTTTTACTGAAAATATCAGCAGACCCCCCCACCCCACACACACACACACACACACACACACGCGCGCGGCTCTTTTAGATGCAGCTATGTGCATTTAGGGATGTTTGGACTTATTTCCTCGTCAAAGGAACAAAACGAAATTAGACCAGATCAGATTCTTTGATTCTGTTTAAAAGATGAAAAAGTCACTTCCTGTTTTATTCTGAAAATCGTGAATTCATCTTCAGCGTAAAAGTACATATTTTTAGTTGATTCTTGATTGGAATCCGCTAAAAAGAACCAGAGCAAAGAAACTGGATCTTTGCTCTGGTTCCAGATTGGGCCCCAGTCAGAACCAGAACCGTCAGATTCAGCAGCTTTGGCTCCACTGCTTTCTGCCGGTCATCTAACAGAAGCTGGTTCTGATGTGATCCCGCCCTCCACGAGAAGAGTCCAGGTTCTGTCTTTGACCGACACCTGGCTTCATCAGAACTCTGAACTGGACTTGAGGTTTAACAATGATGTCATAGGTCGGATGATCCTGGGCCAGCTGGTTCAGGTGGACACTGTGAGAGTTTCAGAACCAGGACGCATCAGTGTTTAAATCAGGAGAAACCCAGAACCGGACCGACCCGGTTGTCCCCTCTGGTTCTTTATTTCCCTGAGTGGGTGGATGACATATCAGATCCAGGATGGAGCCGAGCAGAACCCAGGAGAACTGGATCTTCAGGTTCTGGTGGAATGGATCCTGTTTGTTTGGAGTGGAGAGAAAATGTCTTCGTTTTTCCTTTTTCCGACTGTTTCAGGAGAACCAGGTACCGAAGATCAAACTCCTGTTGTTGTGGAAACCACATCTGAGGCTTGAAATACTCAGAAAAGTTGTTTTTGTTTTGTTTTGTGAAACAGCTGATGGATGAAAATGTGCATGAAACTTAAACCAAAGGAAGGAAAGAAAATGTGTTTAATAATAATAAAAAAAAAACTTCCGCAGCTTTCATCTGAAAATCTGAAGTTCTCAAACGTTTCACAGGATCAGCAGAACCTCCGAGGACCTGGTTCTTCTGGACCGGGTCCAACAGAACCGTCTGACCTGTGTCTCATTTGTTCACGATGTTTTTATGTTTGAGATTTAAAAGATGCTACGAATTAAAACGAAACCACGCTGTCATCTCGTGTCGTTTATGTAAACTCACACAGAACCGGACCGGCTCTGTTCTAAAGCTCACTTAGAAAAAAACAAAGGATTCACCAGATTGCTGTGATTGGCTAATTCAGGACAGGTTTGGCTTTTTGTTTCCGGGTATGTTGGATACATAAAAATAAAGAATATAAAATGTTGCTGACTCCTTGTGAGACTTTAGTTTATATTTCGAGTTTAATGTCGACTGAAACTTTCGGGTGCCGTTGTGGTAGAAGCGGAACCAGAAAAAGAGTCGATCATATGGAGCGATTGAACCATATTCATCAAACTACACAGCAAAATTTTATCCAGTTTTGTTTTACTATTTTTATCTTTTTTATTACCAACATTCTTTGCTTTCCTGCTTTTGTTTGTTTTTATGTATATTTTATTGTTGGCCATGTGTTTTAATTTTTTTGTATGTGTGCAGCACTTAAATTCGCCTCCTGGATGATGGAAAGTGCTAGAAATAAACCATAGCGACCCCAAGTGGCCAAGTTAATGTACTACACGCGACAACATTTATCAACTCACCTGGGACGCTTTCTGCTCGTCTCCAAAAAAAAAAAAAAAAAAAAAGGTTCCCAAATCCCAAACTAGCTTCTAAGCACCAACCCAACCCCCCAGACTTTATTAGCATCTGTTTGGACCGGACCAGAACCGTGACGGTTTGTTTTCTTTGACACTATGAGATAAAAAAATAATGTTGCAACGTATTAAGCTTTATACTTTAGTCTCATGTTCATATTATTTGTAATGGTGAGAATATTTGTTCTGGGTGTAGTACCACTCCCGGCCACCAGGAGGCGGGAGAGATTTTGTGTGGTAGCTAGTCCCTGGGCTAAACAGGTTAGAAAACCGCATAAGCTCCACAACCTGCTTCGACTGGACAGTGGTGTGATAGTGGAAATATCGCATTAATAATTAAAATTCAGAGCAACTTGTGCGTGTGTGTCTGATTTAGCAGAACCATGAACGAACATATGAACCCAACGCCAGTTGCCATGGTGACGGGAAACTTGTGGAGTCGTTAGCAGTAGCAGGTAGCAGCTGAGCTAGTTACTGAGCGGTGTCAGTGAGACTTAAAACTGGGTAAACTCCACTGAACCCGGGAACCCAGAGCTCCGAGCTGACCGCAGGTCGGTACCATCAGCCAACATGAGCAGGGAGGTTCCGAGTGGGGAGGTGAACCGGCAGCTGTTTGACGCTCAGGTGGGTCGAACCGGGCTGTAAAACAGACAGGTCCATTTCCGGTTAAAACCCGGACTGGACGGTCTACAGAACAGGACAGCAGCTCTCCCCAAAAAACAAACAAACAGATGTTTAAGTACTTATGAGTGAGACGTGGAGCGTCTCAATGACCACCTGGTGGCGCTGTGGAGGCCCCTCAGCTGGATGATGGGGATGAAAATGTTTTCATGACTGAAGGTTGAATCTGATGAAAGAAAATCTGGAGACTGATTCTCCTTCTGGTTTCAGACTCAGCTGTCCAAATCACTGTGGGCAGGACGCAGAGACATGAGGACAGAGTGTGTGTCCTCAGCAGACAGTAACACAACCTGCGAGTGAGTGGACACACACACACACACACACACACACACACACACACACACACCTAGTCTGTTTGACCCTATTTAACCCTGACCTCCTGTCTCTCAGGTTCTGCTCCTCCTCATGCACGAGGCAGCAGAGGGATGATGAAGGTGACGAAGATGATGTCAGCAGACTTCCTGACTCCATAGGTTCGTGTCAGCTGATGGTTTGAAACATTCATTAACCAATCACAGCGGTGGCTCCGCCCCTTTGTGCTATTTTTGTTTTGAAATTAAAAAAGAGAAACAATAAAAAACATAAAATAATCAGAAAATTTTAATTGTTTGTGAATCTAAAATCATATCAGCGACTCAGTTAATTAATGATTGTAATTATAATGATTAATAATTGTAATTATAATTACATTCATCATTTTGTTTTTCTTGCATTTGAGCTTAAAATGCTTTCTCTCTCTTTTCTGAGTTTGGCTGATCTGGTCTTGCTGCTCCTCAGAGACCAGTCACCTGACCTCGGGCATTTTGGATAAACTGGCGCAGAAAACCAGACAGAAACACGATGAAGCTCTGAAGCAGATGGACACACACCTGACTCACCTGTCCCAGGTAACGTGTACACACCTCAGGTAGAACACACACAGGTGAAGGAAGGGCTCAGAGACTCTGCTCAGTTCTCCTGACTTCAGGACTCTTGATTTTTGTTTGAATAAAAATGTTAAAATTGGAAATCAAATTCTATTTTCTGTTTTCATCAGTAGTTTGTGACTCGATTGATTAATTTTTTGAGTGATTGATTGTTTCTGTTTGTCAGGCGTGCGAGACGGAGGTAAGGACCCTCTGTGAGCAGCTGAAGTCCTCTTTGCAGAAGGCAAACCTCAGATTGGACACCCTGAAGGACAGGATGGGACACCTGCAGCACAGCAGTCTGCAGGTACACCTGTGATGATTTTCTCTAACATTAAACATGATGGAACAGGTGGAACGTCTAGGATTGGTTTAGAAATCTCTGTTACAGGTTTAGTTAGTGTGTGTGTGTGTGTGTGTGTGTGTGTGTGCGTGCGTGTGTTAGGAGGTGCTCAGTCTCTGGGAGGAGGTGCACGAGGAGGTGAAGGAGAGGAAGAACAGATTCTCAGAGCTGAACCTCCAGCTGAACGACTGTGAGAGACAACGAACCGATGAGGTCAGAGGTCACATCCAGCAGGTCCACACTGTTGTAGCTGAAACCAAAAAAAGCAGATCTGAGGTCAGCTGATCTGGAGTCAGTACCTGCTTGTTTCACAGCTCAGAGCCATCCTCAGGACACACATCCAGCTGCTGGAGGAGATCCGCTTCCTGCCTTCATCAGAGGTCCACAGACTCATCCACAAGGAGGCCACGGTCTGTCACTTCGGCCTCCTCCTCCTCCTCCTCCTCCTCCTCCTGTCATATCACCACTCATGTGTTTACACCCCCCAACCCCACTGCAGAAGCTGAATGTAGCCCTGCTGGCGAACCGCCGCAGCATCGCCCAGCTGCTGCTGCGCCTGAAGGAGGACAACCTGCAGCAGGAGTTTCTGCTGCATCTGCAGTGGGAGGAGAGGTTGAACAGCTGGAGGAGCATCAGAATCAGTGGGCTGGTGGAACGGTTTAGGTGGGTGGAGGTCCCGGTCCCGTCGGGTCTGAAACAGGATGAGTCTTTAAACTGGTTCAGGACCAGCAGAGTTTGTGTTGCAGGACTTTCTTCAGCAGCGTTGTGGGTCGTCAGCCGCTCTCAGATCAGCAGATGAAACAAACTCAAGAGGATCTGACACAACAGCGTCGTGACGTCATCCAACAGATCAGGTAACAAATAAGTGTTTTTTTTAATTGGTTGTGTTCATTTATAGCTGCCACCCACTGCTGAGGCTGTCCAATCGCAACATCTCTCTGTGTTTCAGAACTATGGCCCCGCCCACCATCTCTTCTACAGCCGTTTCTGATTGGTTCAACCAGCTGACAGCCGTCAATCAGCAGATCGGTATCTGATTTACAAACCTGTCCTCACACTAAACAGACCCAGGGTCAGTTTCAAGTCTGTCTGAGAGGTTCAGCAGGAAGCAAGTCAACATTAGATTAGATTAGATTAGATTAGATTAGATTAGATTAGATTAGATTAGATTCTCATGTCTCTGACTTTTTAGATGAACTTAATTTTAAGCAGATAACTCTGTGTGTGTGTGTGTGTGTGTGTGTGTGTGTGTGTGTTCTGTAATGTGTGTTTGTGTTTTCAGACCAACATCACACGGACTTCCTCCGTCAGCTGAAATGTTTGCGTCAGCAGACGTGGCAGGATTGTCTGGCTGAAGCGGAGAAGTGTAAGGTAAAGATCTGACTAGAGGATGGTGATGACCCTGACCCGAGGTCAGCTAAAACGCGTAACGGTGTGAACATGGAGTGATGACCCTCTGAATCCTCCTGGAGAAGCTGAACGTGGTGAAATCACTTCCAACATCATCAGATAATCTGTGTTCACCTGTCTGCCTGCAGGAGGCGCTCTCAGCCCTTCAGCTCTCAGAGGAGCAGGTGAACTGCATCATCAGTCCTAAGCTCCTCCCTCTTATTGAAGGACTCAAGAGTCAGGATGAAGCACAGCTGGCCGCTTTAAAGGCGAGTCGCACAAACTTTCTTGTTTACCTGGATTCAGTCTAAACTCCTTACCTGTTCCTCTGCAGGTGAGCAGGGACTTCTTGTCCCACCACTCCGCCGGAGCCAGCAAGTGTGTTTTTGATGTGATGCGAGCCGTCGCGTTGCTATGGGAGACGCACTGCCGCAGGATGGAGACAAGAGAAGCAGAACTGCAGAAGCACCTGGGGGACATCAAACAATCACAGCAGCAATTCATAAAGGTAAGTCACACCTGACAGGTAAACCGCCTGTGTCTGTATAGCACCTTCCTAGAGTTCTACAGCCCCCCAAGGCGCTTCGCAACACAATCAGTCATTCACATGCTAGCTGCCCTGACAGAGGCGCCACCGGTCCCTCCGATCACCACCAGCAGACAAGGCGGGTTAAGTGTCCTGCCCGAGCAGCAGCATTCTCTGGTCAGAGCCGGGATCGAACCTGCAACCCTCCGATTATTTGACAACCCGCTCTACCTCCTGAGCTGTCCCTGCAATCACAGTAATGTGATTACACACAGGTCTCACACACACAGGTCTCACACACACAGGGGCGTGTGAGGGGGCGGAGCTGTGAACGGTGCTAACTCCCATGGTGCTTTGCTGTTTGGTTTAGAGGAAGATGGCGCGCGTGGACGTCCCGATGAAGGACCTTCGTCAGGAGAGCAGCGAGGAGTCTCTGAAGACGTCCCTGGATAACATCAATCTGCTTGTGCTGGACATCGAGGACCGGTAGGAGACCTTCTCATGACTCTGACTTTTTAGATGAACTTGATTTAAAGCAGATTTTGTGTGTGTGTGTGTGTGTGTGTGTGTGTGTGTGTGTGTGTGTGTGTGTGTGTGTGTGTGTGTGTGTGTGTGTGTGTGTGTGTGTGTGTGTGTGTGTGTGTGTGTGTGTGTGTGCGCGCACAGAGTCCACAGCTTTAGGTCGGATCAGAAGAAGGCTGTGGATCTTCTCCCTTCTCTCTTCCTGAAGGACCTGGACCTCTACAGAAGCAGCATCATCTCCTTTTTTCAGCTGAACCGGGTTTCCAGCAGAACCACCAGTCCGTCTGAATCCAAACACACTCCTCTGCTCTGCTCTGGTCTGGTCTGCACTGGTCTGAACTGGTTTTTCTGTGTGTAGAGGCCCGGGGTGGGACAGGAAAAGGAAAGTCCAAGACGATCCAAATGGAAAAGGAATCAGAACTCATCCTGATGAAGGTGAAACTCCTCATCGTTCCACTTGGAGTGATTGTTCCTTCCTGAGACTTCAGATCATTTTATGGTTTATATTAGTTATTATGGATTTAGCTGGATCTGATTCCACATCTGATTTTATTCTGTTTTAATAATCATGAAGCTTTTATTTTGTTGGGATTTAATTTTAACATTCGGTGTTAATTTACTTTTGATCCACGTGTCGTGTTTAGGCGAAGTCCGCTCTATCCAAGCTCTATGACATCAGCACCAACATCACCATTTGCCCATCAGAGGGTGTGGCCTACAATGGCCCCGCCTTTTCCTATCCTGCTGCTGATCTACCTGAAGACCTGCAGCATAAAGAACACCTGACCCCTTTTCCTGCAGAGCTGCTCGAAAGCACACTGAGCCAGTATGTACACACACACACACACACACACACACACACACACACACACACACACACACACACACACACACACACACACACACACACACACACACACACACACACACACACACACACACACACACGCGCACACACACGCACACACACGCACACACATGCACACACATACATGCACACACTCACACACACTTACATACACACGCACACGCACATACACACACACATGCACGGACCGGACACACATACACACATGCACGCACACACACACGCGCATGCACGCGCGCACACACAGACACACACACACACACACACACACACATGCACGGACGCACACACACATGCATGCACGCACACACACACACACACACACACGCACGCGCACGCACACACATACACACACGTACGCGTACACACACATGCACACACACACACACACATGCACGCACACACATACACGCACACACACACACATGCATGCACGCACTCACACACACATACACATGCACGCACTCACACACACTTCCATGCCATAACTGTGATATCTGAGTAATGTTTGATGTCCAGGTTCCGGGTTACGGTTCTGACCCACTTAGAGAATGGCTTCCAGGACCTCCTCAACATGTCTGCTGCCGTGGTAACAGGAACCATGAATAAGGACCGTTCTGAGCTGGAACCCCTTCTGCAACCGCTGAAGCCAGAAAACATCCTGACCAACGTATATGAGCCCCGTTTGGGTAGAGCCAACACACACACACACACACACACACACACACACACACACACACACACACACACACACACACACACACACACACACACACACACACACACACACACACACACACACACACACACACACACACACACACACACACACACACACACACACAGGGCAGAGAACACTAGTTTAAAATCTGATGGTTCTGGTATCAAAACATCGATCAGGTGTGTGTGTGTGTGTGTGTGTGTGTGTGTGTGTGTGTGTGTGTGTGTGTGTAGCTGAGCTGATACTCCACCAGCAGAGTGTGGATGTCCACTGCCAGGAAATATTTGACCTGATGACCTCCTGCAGGACGGAACTGAAGCAGCTCGAGACCTCCATCACCATGAAGACCCAGGACCTGTCCTCTTCTCTGTCGAGCATGGAGGACGACGTCCAGACGGCTCGCAGCAGCTCCTGGTGAGAAGCGTTCTGGGATCAGCCGACTGCAGCTCCATCAGCCTGACCTCTGACCTCCATGTGTCTGTGTGCAGTCTGGCAGTTGTCAGCACCACCATGCAGGATCTTCTGGATCATCACGTTGAAGACGTTCAGCGATGTTGGAGCGGCTTCAGGCAGATGGTCCGGACCAGACTGCAGGAGGCCAGGACCAGAAACTCAGATCTCCTGACCTCCTTCAGGTAACACCACCCGCAGCACTCCTGATGGATCATCACAAATCTCACCTGGGTTTGTCCTCCTGCAGGACTTTCAGCGAAGGAGGAGACTTTTCTCCTCAGGAGGTCGGCAAGTATCAGATCAGGCTGGAGAAGGAAATAAGAAAGATGAGATCCATCCGGAAGTCTATCTTAGCTGAACTGGAGTTCTTAGAGTCCACGAGTCAGCAACAGGTGTGTGTCCTCACAGGTTGTGACAGTGGGACCTGACTGTCTACCTGTGGAGAGACAAACATCTCCTCTCCTACCTGCTGCAGGTGAAGGAGGCATCAGCAGCTCTGGAGAAGAAGCTCGCAGACAAGAAGTCTGAACTGGAAGTCATCAAGAAAATCCAGGAACTCATCAGCAGAACTCAAACTCAGATCAAGGATGAGGTAATCATCTGTCCCTGAGTCTCCACGTGTCCTCCGTCCTTCTGTCCACACGACCAATCTGGTTCCTGCAGGCCGGCAGCAGCAACCTCCAGCAGGCGGAGATCAGCAGCAGATTGGAGGAGCTCGGGAGGATGACAAGGAGCACACAGGTACGCGACTCGTTTTCTGAACCAGTCCAAGCAGAACCGTCCTTCAGACCCAAACAGAGAGGTCCAGATCTGAGAGACGATCTCAGATGAGCCGTCCGGTTTGTGGTTCTGACTGTTTGTCTGCAGGTCTCCCCGGATCAGCTGTGTTCGTTCCTGTCGTCCACGCATGAAGAGATCACAAAGCGCTTCCGGTACCTGGAGCTGGTGGGTCACCTTCTCCTGTGTTTCTCCTCAGAAACACCTCATTCCGGTTCTGACCGGCTGACTGTCCTCGCCGTCTTCCTGGACTTCCTTTCAGCGTCTCTCCAACATCCCAGATGTTTTTATGTCTTTAGGATCACTCCAAACTGTCAGCTGATCCTGAATCCAGGAAGCAGGTGGAAGGTTCCCCCCAAAGTGGCCCACAGCTCCTGAGCAGAACAGCGGTGGACCCACCTGAAGACCCGGTTCTGGGTACCAGCAGGTCTGTAAGCTAACCAGGAGTTCTGCAGGAAGGAACATTATAAAGAATAGAACGAATAAAGAATTTCCTCCTTTCACCGGTTTGTGGAAACCCAAACCCAGCAGGGTCCAGGATCCAGGAAGAGGTAAAGAACCTCCTCATCATCTGGTTCTGACCCAAACCCATCTGAGTCTGGGGTTCAGATAACAGCTGGTTGTGTCTGCAGGTCTGAGTTCGGTCCAGGAGTGGCAGAGCAGCGTTGATTCTGTCATTTCTCAAAGGTAAACTAACCCACCCCAACCAGAACCAGAACCAGAACCTGACATCAGACAGTGTGAATATTTATACCCGGAGCTTATCCTGCTGACTGGACCGAACCGGACCAGAGCTTACCTTTCGTGTGTGTGTGTAGGGGGAGTGGCTCCAGGACTAAAACAGACGACATCACCGCTGAGAAGGGATTCCGTTTCCTTGGATTTGAACAGGAAACAGAACCGAACGCGTGGTGAGTCCCGCTGGCGTTGGTTCTGATGCAGAGTCCGGTTCTGCGTTGTGTAGAGTTAATAAATACGATCTCATGTGGGCCTGATTTGGCCCGCGGGCCTGGAGTTTGATGTGGTTTGGACCAGATCTCCGCTCTTCTCTCAGCTCCTTCAGCTCATCCGTGAACTCTGTCCTATGGAAAACCAAAAATGAGATCCGGAATCTCACGGAGGTAAGGGAGCCCCAAGGACTTTCCAGCTAAAGTAATGGATGAGTTTAATAATCACCCGCGTGTGTGTCTGTGTCCCGGACTCCGTTGTCCTTTAGGACACCTGCTGCAGCCTCGACTCCACACAGCAAAGGCTTCTGGGATACCAGGACCAGGCCAGCGTGTTCCTAAGAGCCAGCAAAACCGGTTTGTGATCCTCTCACAGGATCAGCTCAGAACCAGGTTCAGGTTCTAACTGGAACCTCCCTGTCCTCCTGTCCGTCTGTCGTAGAGCTGCTGAAGCAGATGGCAGAATTCCAGGAGCTGCTGAGTCCACTACCTGCTGTCTTAATCAGTAACCACGAGCAACGGCACCGGTCGCAGCTCGCAGAGGATGTGGGCGTGGCCAGGAGGAGGCTGGAGGAGCTGCTGGCAGCCAGTGAGGAGGAGAAGGTGAGATGCTGAGGGAGGGAGGAGAAGGATGACCGTTTTACCCTGAAGCTGGTCGCTTTGTGTCATCAGAGGTCGAACTTCCACAAGCTGAGAGTTTCTCTCACAGCCGACGAGCTGCAGGCGCTGAACGCCAGAGAGGAGCTGAGGCAGCAGCAGCTGCACAGCGCCACCTGGAGCATGCACCAGGAACTGCAGGTAGGAGGGGGTGGAGCCACAGTCAAACCTTTTATCACACCTGCTTTCTCACACGGAGTGTGTGTGTGTGTGTGCGTGCGTGCGTGTGTGTGTGTGTGTGTGTGTGTGTGTTAAATGCAGAAGTGTGTGCGTTCCAGAACAGAGGAGTTTGTGACATCACTGGCTTCTCTGTCAGAGAATCTGCTGCTGCTGCTGGACGACCTGCTCACACCTGCAGGTAACCCAGACTCACCTGTAGCTGACATCAAAAACTAAAGGGGATGGTTGTTATTTGAACTCCGTCTGAGTCGAGACCACCGTCAGGTCAACAGGAGGGACTGGCCGCTCCAGAAGGATCCTCCATCTGTCCGAGTTTAATCTCACCTGAAGACTCGAAGGTCTCTCCGTAGTCGGCACCCGAGGCACGAGTCGACTCGGGAAGCCATGAGGAACATGTGTTAGGAAAGGTTTTACATGTGCCATTTTGTTTCTGCAGTGACTCATCAGCACACTGAACACAAAGCTGTTACCATGGAGACGGGAGCTGAAACAGGAAGAGGACGCAGGTAACCAGACGTAAGAGCAGAAGAATCAGAAAGAAACACAAACAGGAAGTGGTTTCAGCTCGCGTGTGTGTGTGTGTGTGTTTGTGTTTTAGGACCTGGCCTGGTATCTCCTTCCTGTTTACCCCCACCAAGGACTCTGATCCATCCACTCCTGTTACCATGACAACAGAAGATATCATCACAACCACTTACAGCCAGAAACATGAGGAAGTTATTGTCAATAGAGATGCTGCTGTGAAGGTACACACACACACACACACACACGCACGCACGCACGCACACACACACACACACACACACACACACGCACGCACGCACGCACGCACGCACGCACACACACACACACACACACGCACGCACGCACACGCACACGCACAAATAGATGTTTGTGTAAATGTTAATCTGCAATTTCTCACTGTGTGTGTGTGTGTGTGTGTGTGTGTTTGTGTGTGTGTGTGTG